GCCAGTATTACCTACTAAAACCCAACAAAACCGCCCCAGCCTTAATGGGGTGTCGCAGGACAGCTTTCCCCCTCAACCACGACGCCCTGACAGCAAGTCTGCCAAAGCAGACCACAACAAAAAAGGGGTTGCTCCACAGTCCACTTTTCTATCAGAGAAGTACCAGGAGCAACCCGCACGGCACACCGCCCATCGAAGTGGGCCACCTCTGCTACGCACCCGGCTGAAGTCTTTGTCATCAATTTGCAACATTTTTTTAAATATACTCAAAGACTTAGCTATTTAATGTATTCAAGTATTTTCTTCAATTAAAAGCTTATCTATTACTAAAAAAAATGTAAGTTGTGATTAATGTTGTAAGACTTAAATAATTATTGAGTCATTTTGTGTACTACTTTAAGTGTAAAGTGTTGATAATATTTATCGCTCAATACATATACGCATTACTCTTTATCACTATCTAGAAGGTACTTATTGCTAGCAAAATGCAAAAAAACTGAAAAATTGCTAAGTGCGAGTAGAATTCGCGTATCAAAAGTTCCTTATGTACACTACACTAATATTTATGCCAGTAATTAACTAAAAAGTTTCCTAACTTAAATTTCATGCCTTTAAAAAATTTTAAACACACAAAAAAACATTACCGAATTGAATACCTTATCCTTTTGTTCATTCGGACATTAATAAAATACTTTATTTTATTGGCGAAATTGAAGTTTTTGGTAACTCTAGCGCAAATTTTACTTATACTTAGCAAGTTTTCAGTATTAATGTACGTTAGAATAATCAAGTGAACCTTTACTTTCAAACTTATAAATATGCTCTTAGGAAGCTTCATAAAAAATACACGATCAGCTTCATTCTGGCCTATTTGGTGTAAAATATATATTATATATATAAGAAAAAATATCGACTTTTGTTATTAAATGTATAAGTGTTTAAAATATGAAATATAATATTACATTATCATCGTTTAATTTTTGAAATTGTAAATAATATCTGCTGTATTGATGTAAATCCTAAAAAGTTTTTTTTTTATTTTACTTATGCTTTAAGATCGAAAATTCTGTATCTATGTAAAAATTAAATGTAAATGTATTTTATAATGTGATCTCAAAATTGATTTTCATATTTTCTTCGTATATATATATATATTTTAAATAAATAAATGTTGCAAATTAAATATCGTTTTCATTTGAAAGTAATATATTTATGCAAATAATAATGAACCTATACAGACTAAAAAAAATATTTAACAAATCAACAAAGCATTTATATATTAAAATTTACTAGGTACGTAATTTCTTTAAGAAATTCTCCCTGATATATAATTTCAGATTTTGTAATCCCCCAAAAAAGAATAGGTATTATACATAATTAAATGGGATCATGTTTAATTAAAATAATAGTAACGGATTCCAAATTATACAATAAATATTAAAATCGATATATTAAAAAACTTAAATAAAGTTTAATTAACATCGTCAAAAAAACGATTTTGACGGGACTTTAACTGGCAGATAGCTGATGTCATAGGGGTAACTTAGGCTAGTTTTTGAAAAAGAATTAAAGTTCCGCGCAAAATAAATCCCATGAAATTGTGTCAGAATCAGATTCAAACTCGTAATTTTAATTATATTTTTTATTTAACTAGCGACTCACCCTCGCTTCGCTCAGGTTCGTCCCCAGGTACATTTTGACGCTTAGTATGGAATAGATATTTTTTCAATATTTTTTTCGTGAATTTTCCGATGTTTTAATAGTTATTCTGCTATTCGGGGTGAAGATATATCCTACAAAATAAAGATCATAAAAATCGGTCCAGCAGTTCTCGAGTTATAAGTGTTGTAATAAACCCGACTTTGTATCTATACATATAATTGTAACTAAGCCGAATCTGTATATTAAATATTTTTTGGAAAACCTTATTGAAATAGACATTATTATCGTTACAGAGGCCGAATCTATAGTTTTTAGAATTTTTGTCTGTCTGTTACCGCATCACAGAAAAACTACTGGAGGGATTTTGATGAAATTTGGTATGGTGATAGCTGGTTATCCGGGTCAACATATAAGGTACTTTTTACCGCGGAAAAATATCTCATTTCTGAGAAAAAATACAAAAACTAATGTAAGAGTATACTAATATGTAAAACCTAAGAATTTGGTTTTTGGTTATCTGAACGCGAGCGGAGCCGCGGGCAATGCTAGTTTACATATAAATACGAACAATACGACATATATATAAATACGAAGCGAGGGTATCGCTAGTCCTTATATAAAACTAGCGACACATCCCCGCTTCACTTGTGGTCGCCTTAAGTAAATTTTTCATTTATTTCATTATTTCTTTATTTCAAACCGCTTGCAGTACATATATCGATAAAGCAACTGAATGGCTTTTTTTGTCTTGAACTAAAATTATGGTGATTTCTAATAGTACCTAAACACATTTTTATCGGAATAATAAATATAGCGCTCTGCGCTAATATGGCTTCCTATTAGTGGAAGCATTTATAGAATTGTATCAATTATCAGTTGTTTCAGAGATAATGTCTTACATCCAAACTTCCAAATTATACCTCTTTATGACATCCGATGTACATTCGTGAGACGACTATTAGGGTTGTCAGATTTTAATTAATTAAAATTATTTATTATAATTAAAATTTATCTAAAAAAATTAACATGTGTTTGGGAAACATCGTTGTCTGTCCCGTAGTATGTTAACTGTAAAACATCGTAATATATGGAAACTCGAGCACCAAAAATTCAAGAGGATCGATCTAACTATTAAAAAAGAAAAAAAAAGGCATTACAATTTTTTTCACAAAATTATATTTTGTGTTAACACCTGCTACAAGTCTTATTATTATTATATGTACAATACTTTTTATACTACATATTAGTAACAAGTAACATTCATAACCTTACTGGAGCAGATCTTACTTAATAATTTATAAATTTGTGCGGGCACAGTTATGAGGGTCGAGGGGTAAATCCTTACAAAAACCCCTAACAAAAAAAAACAAAACACATTCACTACAAACAATACTATGCCTATGTCAAAATTATAACACTACAAGCTTATTTTTCAATCATTAGACAAAAGTTAAAGAACTGGACATATACCCGACCAAATGTAAAAGTGAAATAAATCTCTATAAAGATAAATAAAATTGAAGTGTCTGTTTGTAATGTTAAAATAACAGCCTTTTACTAAATGCATATGAAATTATATATGGTACTTATAAGAAAACACATTTTTGTAAATTTTTGTCTGTCTGTTTATTCCGGCTAATCTCCGAAACGGCTGGACCGATTTTGACGGACTTTCACTGGCAGATAACTAAAGGAAGTAAAAAAAAATAGTAACTTAGGCTACTTTTATTTTGGAAAATCAGGGTTCGGCAGAAAAAAATCAAAACCTATGAAATTATGACTCACCCGAGCGAAACGAGGGTAAACCGCTAAAAATAAGATCGCGTAAAAGTAATATGTTATTTTATGAATAACTTTTATCTAATAATTGAATAATCGGCTAAAAGTAAAAATATTCAATTAATTACATTTAACTCCAACCTACGAGCATACAAAATAAATCACATGAGGATATGAAACCCGTCAATAATAAAAATTAAGTAGTCAAGCAATACTTGTTATTTGGGCACAAAAAATACCCCAAAGACATACTCCTAGCTGTGCCCACGCAAACACAACGAGTCTGGACTAACATAAAATTAATCAAGAGGTTGACTAAATCAACTAACTTAAAATAATGCAAGTGATTTAACATTTGGCAATAAATTAACGAGTTTAACACAAAATAATCCTTAGTGCAAAGCGTATAAAAGAAATTAATAGCTAAATGTTACAATAAAAAAATATAAAAAAAAAACTATTAGGCCTATTTTCGGGTCTCGCCCTTAATACTATCACATTAATTTAAAAAAAAGTTACCTTTTTAATATACAAATATGCTAAGGATTCTATGTATACAACCTTACACAAGCAGCACATTTACAGTATATTACATGGAGAGGAAAGAGGCACTTCCGATAATAAAAACACAAATTAAATTACAAACTGTACATAATCACGATATACATATAAGTGTTAATGATTTTTTACATTCAAAATACATTTTTGCAGTATACATTGCACAATGACAAATATTACATATAATTGATGACTCTCACATACACTATTAGAAATGAATCACATTTAAAAAAAAACTTATAGCATTATTAAATCCTTATAGATTTCAAGGCCAAAGTATATAAATATTTTTCCTGTTTGTTATAAAATAAAAAAAAACTCAAAGTTCTTATATCTTGTTTATATCTTATCTGTGGCATTCAGAAAAACATCTAAAATAGCTGCTACAAACCAATCCAAGAAATAACAAATTATATATGCATGTAAGAGCCACCAATATGCGTCTTTGGAAAACAAAACCGAGCACACTTCCTTACAGACAATCAAATTGATTATCACAGTGCCGAGTGACCAAGTTATAATTCAATACATCCAAATACTTTTTACAATTGTTCCACCATCTTGTGAACTTGCTAATATTGAGATGCTAGTGTAATTTCGATTAAATACTTCCATTTTCACAATGTCGGTTAATTAATTGATAATTAATTTTTTTTTCTGCCATTATATACAGAGATACATACAAAATGTTGTGTGGCAATAGAAAATAAAAGTTCAAACAACTTATTGCACTATCATTACGCTACTCCCCACATATTAAAATCTATCAGCAATTTTGTACTTTATTCAGCTTCATACCAAAACAAAGATAAAAAATGCCATGTAAAAAGGATAAGGCAACTAAAGTGGTGTTATATACATCTTAAAAGCATTATTTTGTACTTTACCTTAATTATATTATACAGTCACTTTTTGGTCACAGATTAAATCACTTAAAACACAAATGTCACTGTCACTGTCACTTTTCACTGCTTCCTGCACTGGGTTTTTGGTCGAGGCTACCGACGCATAGTTGAATTAAGTGTCTGCATTGTCAAAGGTGGTGGAGGATTTATGTATCCAGCGTACGCGTATACATTGGGCTGTTGCGCCCTGGGATCAGGTCCAGGGTATTGGACTCCTGGCTGTACATTCATCATCTGGACCGGCAGGTTGTTGAATTGCTGCTGCGGTGGAACTCGGTAACCATTCAGACCGTATTGGCTGATGATGTGGGTGTTAAGGTTCGGTGACATGCGAGAGCCAGGACCCATTTGAACATGCTGCATTGGACTAAGATTACCTGGAAATATTTTGAATAAAAATTAAATAGGATTTGTATATTACATCTGTTTTAAATGCCTATTGTATCTGGGTCTTTGAAAATAACAAAAATTCTTTACTTTTTATTTTTCATTTTTTTTTATTTATCGGTTCATTGTTTCATTTCTTTTTTTTTCAAGAAATTTATGTAAAAAAGTATATTAAAACACACTATGTGCTGTGTAAATTAGAGCCATTAGAATATCATCCATTTCCATCTTAATTTATATTGTGACATATCAATGTTTGTTAAAAAAAATATATCAACATCAATATAAATAATCAACATAGTCAAATAATTTGTGCTCTGGCATGCATTAGAGCCATTAAATAAAGAATTGAATTGTATTCAGCCCTTTTTAACGTCCCAGTGCAGGCCATCCTTCAATACGAGGGGGATCAGGCCATTGTCCAACACGCTGGTGGGTTGGCAGACTTCACATGTATAAACTATTAAAGTTCTCTCAGACATGCAGGTTTCTTCTCACTTTTCCTTCACCATAACACAAGTGGTAATCATGTTGAAAATGATTTCAGAGGTGCGAGACCCCTGATTTAAATGCACTTCACTTGGCAACCCTGCCTTAAGAATTATGTAAATTGAATTGAAAATAAATTAATATCGTTCTGCTGTGTACAAAATACAAAATATATAAACAAGACGAGTATTTACTCACTGGTAGCGTTACGCGTGTTACGCGGCGACTCGAGCTGGTTGTGGGCGGGCGCATAGTACTTGGGCGCGTGGTAGTGGCCCGCGGGGGGAGTGCCCGCCTGCTGACCGTACTGGAACATTGGGAATTAAACTGTTAATACTACTGTTTGTTTATTGTGGAAATTATTTATAGAGAACTAGAAATCAATAAAGTTTAAACTTTTCAAATATAGAATGTAACTTAGCAAAATCTGTACATGAAAAATTATTAAAAACAATGACTGTAGCATATCTTGTACAGAATATAGACCCCAAAACAATAGTTATTAAAAATTTCGTCTGTTTGTCTGTATATTTGAATGTCTGAATGTAATCATTTTATATTGAACTAGCGACTCGCCCTCCCTTCGCTCGGGTTCTTCTTCCGTAGATACGTGTTAACGGTAAGTATGAAATACATCTTTGAATTTCTCGGCTTTTCTGAACTGTAATATATATGCACGTATTATACATATAAACCTTCCTTTCGAATCACTCTAACTATTAAAAAAACCGCACCAAAATCCGTTGCGTAGTTTTAAAGATCTATGCATACATAGGGGCAGATAGTATGTAGACTAGTAGCATATAATTCAGCAGTGTCGGTAGGTACCTGTGGCGCGGGCGCGGGCGGCGTGTGCGGCGGGTGCTGCGGCGCATCCGCCATCTGCTGCAGCTTGGCGAGGCTGCAGGAGGGCGCCCAGCCCGCGTGGTACTGCTGCTGTTGCTGGAACGACAGGTAGCCGCCCTGGTAGCCGCTGCCCGACGTGCCGCCCTGCATCACTGCACCGCCTGAAATGTCAAACGTTTACTTCAATTAGATATATAACAAAATTGTAAGTAAGCCAAATCTGTACATTCAATGTTTTTTTGGAAAATTTTATTGAAATAAACATTATTATTGATACAGAGGCTGAATCTATAGTTTTTAGAACTTTTGTCTGTCTGTTACTGCATCACGAAAAACCCACTTGGAGGGATTTTGATGAAATTTGGTATGGTGATAGCTGATTATCCGGGTCAACATATAGGATACTTTTACTGCGGGAAAATATCTGAGAAAACTATATAAACGTTAAAACGTAAGTACAGTGCTGTGAAAAAAAAAAGACTCAATATTCATTTTTCAAGATTGTATGTGGAAATAAGTATGTAGTTCTAAACATTGTTTTATCAAATAAAGGTCACAAAAAAAGATAACTCTTAGTGTATGTGAACATTTTTTTTATTCATTACAATAAATATAAAAATGAAAGAAATGCTTAAAAGCAAATATTGACTGGGAATAATTGAGGAGCGTCGGAACAAAAACCGATAAATCACATTTGTATTTTTTTGTGGAAAAATGTAAAAATATGGCCAAGTTCATAGTTTTCAACCAATTGGCATCATAAAAAAAATATGTCAAAATGTGATTTATCGGTTTTTGTTCCGACGCTCCTCAATTATAAACTCAATGTCTTAATAATGTATATATTAATTAATATTTCGGCAATTTACCCTTATTTTTAATTTTTCTATCGGGTATACTATCAATTAATTCTTTTTTATAAAATTTTAGTCCAAAATTTCATCAATTGATGTAATTTTGGATCAACAAGACTGCAGTCTTTGTATAAGTTGAGAAATATTATTGATATGGGTTTTTTTTTATTATATTTTTTTCTTGCTAAGATCTCCCAAGCATTTTCCATCGGATTTAAACGGGACTGCTTGCTAGCCCGTCGAATAGTTTGTAGTTGGAGCAACGTGTACTGGAGCGTTGTCCGGTTGAAAAATTATATTTTTGTCTTCAGTCAACATAATGAATGGTAGAAGATGGTCCTATAATAGCTCTCGATAATTAGCAGCGTTCATTCGATTACCACAGCACGCCAATTCTATCTTTAAATGACCAGTGATACCACCCCAAACCATGACTGATGCACCTCCATGAGCTCGACGAGACATTATTTTACGTTCACACCCTTTAAATCATGCCAATCATATTTTAAACCATCCGGAAAGTCGCAAATAAATTTATCTAAGAAAATCACGTGTTTTCAGAAGCTTTTCCTTTTTTTGATACATTTTTCTGCACATTTTGGTCTTTCTGCAACAAGCTTTGCTTTTAAGACGGATTAACTTAGGTACTGCGGATATTTAAAGCGTCTGGGCTCTTGTGCCCACTTTCTCACAAGACTAGCATCACAGTTTAAATTAAATCTATGCACTAATGTCAATGATGATGCTCCAGCACTTGATAATTCTTTTAATACTGCTCGTTTAACATTAGGAGGCAATTTCGGCGGACGTTCTAAACGTTTTATTTTGCCATAGTTTTTAACATCTAGCTTCAAAAAGCTTTTCACCACACTCTGTGATCTACAAATAATATCAGCCTTTGAATTTTACCGCAGCTTCTCAGATTAATAAATTCTTTGTTTTTCAAGAGAAATTATTTCTTTACCGCGAGGTAACGATAAAAAAAAACACTTTAATTTCAGTGGGTTGCCAAAATGCAACTGAGTTTATAAATATTCACAGATTAATAAAGCGTATTCTAAACGAAGTCACAGCACTATAATATGAAGGTCATGCAAAAAAAAAAATACATATAATGAATCAGGATATAATATTGTGTAGTTAACAAAACATGTCTTAGATTATTTTGTTACATAAAATTTTTCAAATAATGAAAAAACTTTTTGAGTCTATATATTTTCACAGTACTGTAGTGACGAACCGGAGCAAAGGTGAGTATGAACTTATAAATATTTAAGTAGAACATGAAGGGGTCAGCCGTCAGAATATTGTACTTTATGCTTAGAGTAGACCAACATATATATATATATATATATATATATATATATATATATATATATATATATATATATATATATATATATATATGAAGGGGTGACTGACCGTGCGAGGTGACCGGGTGCGGCGGCGTGGCGCGGTGGCGCGCGGGCGGAGTGGCGGCGCCGCGCACGCCCGCCGACTTGTCGCCCGCGCTCCCACTGCTCGCATTGTTCCTGGAATTAGATACATAATATAAAATTAGTCGTATAAAAACTTGTTTATGGCACACTGAATGTACTTAATTGAGAATAATATTTTTTACATACATTTATATATACATTCATCTCCTACATGCAAACTTAAATCCCCCTTTTCCCCCCCTAAATGGATGATTTCCGGGATAAAAACTATTCTATGTCCTTCCCAGAGTCTTGTCTTCATACAAAATTTCATCTAAATCGGTACAGCGAATTTTAGTTTATCCAATACAAACAACTTACAAAACAACTTTTTTCTTTTTACTATAATATTAAGTATTGAGAATTATATGAAAAATTTCCTAAACATAGGTTTCGAACCCACGATGTCTGAAATGGATGGCGCTCTCAATCACGTTACTTTAAAGTTTAATTTTAATTAATTAAAAAAAATCGAATTTTAAACGAACTATTAGATATCTGTTACTTACCTATTTCTATTATTAATCTTCTGCTGTTTAGCTGGTTGGTTCGGCTGGCTCATGATAGATGGGATGTGCAGTGATGAGTGCGGGTACTGAGGACTGGGGGCTGGGTGCATATGCATCATACTGCATGGTGATGCCAAATCTGACCCTATACTTGTTGGCGACTCCAGCCCCAACTGACTAACATCCAACTCACAGGCCGTATATTGGACCGAATGGACCGAATTACTCGTCGAGTCCGGAGTATAAACCCCCATGGACTGTAGTGCTGGACTAACTGACTCGCACATCTCTTCCTTATTCGTGTCCTTTGGAGACTCATCCTTCTTGGACTGCTGTCGAGATTTCTTCTCGATTTCAGACTTCTCTTGGCATGGACCGTTTTGGTTGAAACTCTTGCAGCCGGGCGATGTTAGTATTTGGGGACTTTGTTGTCGAAATTCCGCGCAACTTGTTACCACGTCTTGTTGCTTATTAACTTGTCGCTGCATCATTTGCTTTATCTGCGCTTCGTTTGTGTTGTGAGACTTTTTACTCTCGCATTGTGTTTGACACGCCGTAGTTGTTTTCGACTGTTTTGTTGGTTTACACTCGTTTTTCTGGCAATCCGAAGCTTTGGATGTTGGCGCTTTAGTCTCTTTGAAGTGTGGCAACCCTGTTGTAGCGTATATGCCACCAGATAGAGCACCGTACGCAATATTATGAAAGTCCTTTTGGTCGTACTTTGGATGCAACTTTTGCGGAGATTTCTGCATTTGATCTAAATGAGGTAGATTGAAGCCTTGGAATTTGTCCAAGTAATTTTTATCGTTGTTTTTCATGTCTAAAAATCGATTATGGTCCCACGTTCTAGTAGGGTCCCAGGGTGCCCACTGCGACATAGGGTATTGCGCGTGAGTCGTATGATAGTTAGGGATTTGGTTCATTGCGTAATCCGCTTTTGGCACCAATTCGTTGTCGTATTTAAATTTTGGCAACATCTTGTTCAGATCATTTTGCTCTGCTGCCTTCAGATTGAGTTGCGTTGAGCAAGTCTTATCATGTTTGACAGAGGAATTTTTGTCACACTTAGCGGCGTTAGATTTTTCTTTCTTAAAAAAATCTTGCTTTTTGGGCGCTTCAGTTGTTTTTGCCTCCATTTTACTCGTTACTGCCACAGTATTTATTACATTTATTGGGACAGATGTCTCCGGTTTTCTCGCAGGTGCATTTACTTCTGGAAAAAACAACTTAGGCTCTGGGGTGCTTCTTGGAGTTTCGTTTTTTGATTTCTTCTCAGTTTTCTCCATTTTACTATGCGCAGAATTAACTCTGACATCCCGTAACTTGCTCTTTTCTCTAGGCTTTTGGTTTGGATCATTTTTGTCTTGAGAATTCGTTTGGACAATGCTCATGGAACCGCCTAACGAATTTTGTAGGTTGTTAGCGAAATTGGGATCTATATCGGTTCTTTCCATTCCCAAGTTCACAGCAGCGTTAGCACTCTGACATCTCGGCAGAAAGCTGATATCAGTCACATTCGGCACTTTTGGTATAACTGGATTGACGACGGGTGACGTGATGGGATGAGGAACTTCTAACTTCGTCGTACTTTTGCTAATAACCGGTAAAGGATCAGGCATGTTATTGATCACTCTATTTGGATCGCTGGTTTTTACAAGATCTTTGTCAGTTTGCACGCCTTGTGACTCTTTACTTATGGTATTTCTATGGTTCATGAATGGATGCTGCAATGTTGTATGCAAAGAATTTATAGGCTGTATAGTTACTGAATTGCTAACTGAATTATGGTAATTGGGTATCGGATTCTCGATTATATTCCTCGATACAACAATATCCACTTTTCTCGAATGCATCATATCATTTCTAAAAGACATTTCGCTTTCTTTACTAATATTCATTTGTAATTTCCGCGCATCCATTTCATTGTAATCGATCTTAGGGGCCTCCGGTTTCTTTAGCGCAGATATATCTCTATGTGGATCTAAATTTTGTATAATCGTTTCTATTTTATTTGGCGACTTTTTCTCTGTTTTACTTTCATCGACGGTTTGGTGCTGAATGACGGTCTCTTTTCTCATTTCGCACTTTTTCTGTTCACATGCAATCTCCATGTTAACCTTTTCAGGCGATTTCTTTTTTGGCGATTCACTTATTACTGTTTTGTCATTTTTCTTTGGAGATACGCCTGTGCTTGGTGAAATTGCACTATCCGACTCTCCTTCAACGACGATTGTTTCGATTTGATGTAAACGTGGTACTATTAGATCCACGGAGGGTTTTATTGTGTTGGAATCAGACGGACCTTTAGCGTCGAGAACTATATGAGCATTCTCCGTAGACACAACAGGTAATATTTTGGGAGGTGTCTCACTTTCTGTATCTTTTGTTTTAAACTCGTTATTTTGAATGGGAATTAAATTATTAGGTTTAGGAGAAGGCAGCGGACAACTTTGACTGTTGTTATCGTCAGACTCTGATATAACTATAGTGTCTTTATCATCTATGACTGGTTTGGATGGCGATGTTAGTTCACCATTTCTTGTCTCTGGAACTTTTTCACGTTCAGATTTCTCTTTCTCCATTTTCCCATTATTTTCAATTATACTCATATCCGGTCCATTTTCCACAACCGGAAGTTCTTCATCTACTTTTTCTTTATCAGTTTCATTAATAACTTGATCTTTTTCCGCAATAGATTTAGGTGAGTCCATATGAATACTGTCAAGTTCCATATCGCTAGTGTGATTGTCTGTACTGTTCTCTTCAATGGGTCGAGGAGTCGCAGGTTTGCTTGGTATACTCGTTCTATCCTCTCCCTCCTCCACATCCATCTCATCATCTGCCTCTCCAGATGAATCTTCTGAACTTTCCTCATTATTTTTAGTCTTTTCCTCTGGTTTCTCATTTTGAGGTTTTATTGTTTTATTATTTTCATCTTCATTAGGCATAATATCAGTGGGTTGTTCAATAGAATCATCAGTTTTGTAGTCATCATTGACAGTTTCATCAACTTTTGGTTTCTTAGCAACAGGGGACGCTGCGGCGGCTTTATTGACCTTTTGACGTTTGGGTTGACGACCTTTCCAGCCAAGTCTTCGCTTGGTTTTATTTTTAACTTCATTAACAGGTGTGTCCATTTCATTTCGCGTGTCAACACTTTCCTGGCTCTCCTGACTGTCAGACGCGTACGTTGGTTCTTTAATGGTCTTCCGCCTATTTCTTGGTAGATCAATAACTTCCTCTTGTATTTTAGCTTTCCGGGCGACACTTTTACTCCTTTGCCTTCTCGGAGTGGCTTCCGGTTCTTTAGCCTCTTCAACGCTTTCGGATACCTTCCTCGTGGCTTCCCGTTTCCGTTTCCGTGTTCCATCACCAACGGTAGGTGTCGTTTGGTAAGTACTTTCGCTGTATTTAAGCGGCCGCGTCCGTCTTCTTCCGGATGACGTCACTTCCACTGGCAGTTCCGGTGTTTCCTTATCTAGTTTCGATTGTTCCGCTTTAGCTGTTTCCGGTTCTGTTTCAGTGTTTTCACTTTCCGTCTTCATTTCATCATCATTCTCTGTTTCTTGATCACCGGATCCTTCTTCTGGTGATCTAAATGGATTGACGGTTGGTGCTAACAATGGCGTCCATCTTAAGCATTCAGGATCGATTTCTAATCTAGGCCTGCTGTTGACTTTCTTCACGTGATTTTCAACCCTATTCCAATCAACACAGATCCCTAATTTTACTGTATCGTTATTAGGCACATATCTGACAAAGCCGAGCAGCTGAAACGTGACAGCTATGTCGTTCATATGCATTCCCGTAGTAAAAGCAATATCCTCAAATGTAATCGGCCGATCTCTATGATCGTGTAGATATTCTAAAATTACAGACTTCCAATACGCGTGGTACGAAACCCTCCCTAAGTCGGACAATGGCTTTTCGGGCGTTCCCGGTTGACCTTCCTCCTTTGATAACAAATAACCTGAGAAAGAAAAAAATAATTAATCAAAAGATTCATTAATAATAAAAAAGAACATTTTGCTTTTCATAAAGAGCTATGATAATTTTGTAGTAATTTTAAATTACTTGATCCTAAGAAAAATAATATTGATACTTCGAATATATACTGATTATAATCTAAGAAGTTTTTCTATTACATATAAGTAACCTATAATTTACTTTACCAACAACAATAAAAAAAATACTAAAAAGCCATAGAATAAACAAAAAAAATAATTCCACCACTCACTAAAATGGATGAGAAATCGCCCGTATCCTTGTCTCTGGTACTGCGGCATCGTCATTATACACGACACGTTATATTTCTGCTGACAATGCTTTTCCTTTGAGAAATATCCAACTAAATGGCATCCTTTGCTGTCATTTTTTGTTAGAACATAAAATAGAAACGGTTCAACATCATAATACAAAGTTTTATGGTCAAGAAATAGTTTTGCTAGAAGGCAGAGATTCTGACAATAAATCTTATTGGCATTCCCATCCACTTCGAACACGGATATATCACCGCATCTATATATTTCTGTGGCCGGCGGATGTCTCCATAGACATTTGTCCAAATGTCGCATCAAAACAGCTCGACTTTTCGCATATTTCAGACAGAACTCGCATAGGAATAGCTTTGGCAACCTGAAATCGAAATAAACGATATTTGTTATATTTTTAATAATATGGACTTTTTTGCTTTTAGGTATGAAGGAACAAATTGCGCACACACTGCAAAGTTTTTTTTTTTTTCATTTTATAAATTTAGCATCCATACATATAAAACTTTTAATTTTTTACATAACGGTCAATTAATAAAATAGTGTGTATGTATTGACGACATAAGTGATATTTTGTATACATATTTAATCTTATAAAATTACAAAATGAATACCTTGCATATTCCTGTGGAAAGGGACTTGAATACCAAGTCTCTATCTCCCATTGTCCAAACTCTATAGCCGACGGGCACCTTGGTGGCGGTGGACCGGCTCCAGACCCCGACCCTGAGGGCACCACCTCCTCAGCACCGCTCGCTGCCCGCGCCTGGGAGAACAGCTCCGCATCCGCCTCTGTCACGCCGGGAGGTAAACGCTTTCCCTCTGTAAAAGATAAAATACATATAAAATTTGCTATGGGAATAGGTAATAAGTGAGACAGTCCGATACAGAGTGTTTAATTCATCAAAACGAGAAAACGTTAAATTTTATTAATCATATTAACATATACATACACCCAGCATATTATTTAACAAAAGAAAAAAAAACGATATCCGAAAAAAAAACAAATATATACAATTCCAAACATAAATTACACATTACATACAATATGTATTATAATATTATAAAAAAAAGGAAAACCAGTAAGAACACACAGGGGGGATAAAAACAACATCTAACATGTAACAACATTAACATAATAATATGTAACAATATCCGTAGTAGAGCATTCGAGAAGCGCGAGCGAAAGTGCGTGCCCAAAAACAACACTCGGCGCGTCCGAACAGAGAGGGCGTAGGGCCGGCCGGCAATCAGACCGGGGACGGTCACCACTTTCACCGCGCCTCCCGTCACAATCTTACCCGTCTGATTGGCGGCCGGGCCCTCGCGGTGCAGCTTGTGCGCCTGCGCGTCCACGCACCCGCCGCGCTTGCCTTCCGCCGCGCGCACCACCAGCGCCGACGCGCTCAATCGAACCTCCGACCCTCTCATATCCTCTACCTCTCCTCGCTCCACCCCCGCCTGATCTGCGGCCTCTTTGCTGTGCCGAACTTCCCTTACACTCTTCTCCTCTCTCTCTAGTTCTCTCGGCCGACTCCTCTTGGCCCGCTCCTCCCTAACTTCTTCTCTATTTTCTATTGACAGTCTTTGTTCCCTACTATTTCTACTCTCGCGGCTCAACGTCGCCTGATATCGCTTGAACGTGCTCCGCGTCTCCTTTAATACTTGACGATCTTCGCTCTCGCGCTTGACCGGCCGGTGCCGGGACTGGGAGCGGGACGCCGTTCGAACCGAATAGAACTCCGATAGCCCATCGAACAGCGTGGTCAGCAGTCTGTCTCCGCATCTACTCCTCCGTCTGTGCCTTAATCGTTCCGGCGATTGCTTCTGTATTTGGGGAGGTGATGGTTCCTGTGGCCGTGGGGTTTCCGGCTCGAGCGTGGACTCGATGACCTTCTGCTTCTGCGCTTCCGCTGCGAAGCCCCACGTGCCGCCGGGGCCCGTGTCCGAGGCAAGGCGCTCGAAGATGGTGGGCGCGGGGCGGGCGGGGGCGGGCGGCGCGGCGGCCAGGGCGGGCGGGGCTGGCGGTGAGGCGGGGGCGGGCGGCGCGTCGCTGTCGGAGGAGAGGGAGGGCGGGCGGCGCTCCAGCCGCAGCTCGAGGCGCTGCACGCGCGTGACGCGCACTCCCCCCCACTGCGAGCCCTCCCAGCCCTCCCACTCGCTGGAGGACTCCCTACACCGACGCTTTTTGACGAGATTGAAAGCGGAGAATCTGAAAAATTTCTGTTTCTCCTTCGACATTCTCTGTTCGGACGGGCGCGAGTAATGCGAGGCATTACCGTCGGAGGGCTCGTCATCCGAGTCGATGCGTCGCGCTGCTGCCTTCGGTTTCCTCTTCTTCGGCGTACCTCCCATCGTAGATCTGTAAAAGATAAAACAAAATATAAATAACATATAATAAAACAACAATCATGTAAACATTCATTTTAATATACATTTTTTAATGTATACAGGGTGGATTTTTGAGATGGGATGGTAAGGGCATAGTATAACCAAACTTGTTAAGTGGTGTATGTCCAGAACGCAGCCTAAGGGTCATAACAATTTGTTGACGCGTCAATATCCCATCACAGAACCACGGGATATGAGGAGGCTCGTTTACAATATTCTATAACATTTCGATCTCTCATCAAAATACTCTTTCCATATATTAAAAATTTCTTTTTTATGTTTTATCAAGATATCAGAAAAGTTTGGCGTTGTTAATAATCTTATACCTGCATTCATAGCTCGTCTTGCTAAACTGTCAGCCTTCTCATTTCCCGCTACTCCAATAAGTATAAGTAGTAACAGTTATACTCGTCAACCCTAAACCTATATGTCGAATATTTATAAAAAGTAAGTATGACCCACGTCTCCCCCGCACTCCACAGTGTCTTTACATTATCTGGTTAGTATACTGTGGATGATAACGAGCATGTGTATAGTACCTAGTGGTCTCCTGGCAGTGGTCGCAGCGCCAGGGCGGGCGGCGGCAGCGCGCGTGCGCGGCGCGCGGGCACGCGGCGCAGCGCGACGCCCACTCGCCGCTGAGCCCGCACTGCGCGCAGCGCGCGCACTCGCCGCAGCACCACCGCGCGCTCTGGTACACACGCACACACATATATAGATAATCTACACAGATAAATAATTGAAGTGTCTGTTTGTAATGTCATGTCATATGAAATTATATACAGTACTTATAAGAAAAATACATTTTTTTATTTTTGTCTGTTTATCTGTTTGTTCTGGATAATCTATGAAACGGCTGGACTGATTTTGACGGGACTTTCACTGGAAGATAGCTGATGTTATAGGGAGTAACATACTTTTATTTTAGAAAAAGAATTAGGGTTCCGCTCAAAAAAATTAAAATGTACCTAGGACGAACCCAAGCGAAACGAGGGTGAGTCACTAGTATGTTATACTTATCTAGCACATTGTTATTATTTTTTTTTTCTTATCATTGTTCATGTCAGTTTTAACATGTCTAATACGAAAGTCCCTAAACTATAATTATAATTTATACATGTATCTCCGTTCAAATGAACAGTGTTAACTACTTTTATTCATCAGTTTAATGTGAAATCCTACTTAAATCGTAAATATATACACATTTATACATAAGTTGTTGACTAGTAGTACAGAATGCTTGGTAACAAAAAAAATTAATAAAAAAACTACTATTGTATACAGAATTTCGTGGCATTTCCTTTCTAGTATAGTAAGACAACAAATTTTCATTCAAAATATGCTTAAACAAATTTTAAACTATCGATATAGAATCTACATAAATCTAATGTAGTTCAGATTTAGATTGAAAAAACTTATTTGTCAAATTTCAATAATATAAAATATTCAATAAAAGAAATAAAATATGTAATTCAAAAAGTTTTCCAGTTATTTTACAAAATACAAGCCAAGATGTTATAAACTTTAATTACTCAGCATATTGCTAAAATATTGTAACTTGCGATTACTCTCTCACTCATAGCCTTTGTCTTATATTGAAAACACCCATATCAAAAAAATATCTATAGAAACAATTATGAATGCAAATATAATTCATTCATTCCATTCAACCAATCATTTTTATTCCCCTCCAGCATTATAAATGGCCCTGTATATAAATTATTAAGTTAATATGCCATATGTGTATAATAAAGCTGAGCAGATGTTAATATTCTCATGAATAAAATTGAATCTGACCTAGAAACACACTTGTAAGAAATTAAAGAAAACACTTCACGATTGAATGTATTTATGTAAAACATCCTACTAATACATATTATAAATCCAAAGGTTTGTGAGGATGTATGGATGTATAGACATATGGATGTTTGTTACTCTTTCACGCAAAATCTACTGAATGGATTTTAGTGAAACTTTACAATAATATAGCTCATACATCAGAATAACACATAGGCTACTTTTTATCCTGGAAAAATGTATGGTTCCCGTGGGATAATTTGTTTGTTTTCCCAGGATACAAAGTAGCCTATGTGTTATTCCCGACTATAATCTATGTGCCAAATTTCATCCAGATCCAATCAGCCGTTCTGATGTGAAAGAGTAACAAACATCCATACATACTCACAAACTTTCACATTATAATATTAATAATACAGATATATACTTTAGAATCACCTAATTCAATATTTTTTCTATAAAAATGTAAATGTCAAGCTAATTATAAATTACAGTAAATAGCAATAATAAAAAAATAATGCTAATAAAACAACTAAAATTAATGATTTTCATAATCTTAGTGCTTAAAGCTCTTGTAAAAATACAAAAATGTATAGCAAGTCAACAAAATAATTAGCTTTGAGCAAATCATCTGTGTATAGAGGACAATGTAAACAGGTTCATTAAATGTTTGCTTTATTCAATTATCAATAATTCTCATATTGAATGAGAACTGTCTAATTTGCTGTGTGATTGCACAACAATTATCGACTTTCAGGTTTAAAATAAACTATAAAAGTTTTCATACAATTCTTGTTGCTACAGTTGCAAGTATGACTTTTAATACTTAATTTTTAATTATCTATACAGATAAATAAAATTGAAGTGTCTGTTTGTAATATCAAAATAATAACTTTTTACTAAATGCATATTATAAAAATATAAATGCATATACAGTACATATAGTAAATATAAATATAGAAAAACACGATTTTTATAATTTTTATCCATCTGTCTGTTTGTTCTGGCTAAACTCCGAAATGGCTGGACCGATTTTGCCGGAACTTTCACTGGCAGATAGCTGATGTTATAAGGAGTAACTTTAGTACTTTTAGAAAAAGAATTAGGCACCTGCTCAAAAAAATTAAAACATACCTAAGTCACTAGTAAGTCATATAATTTAATCATTAGCCACATACTTAACAAAAAATATTTTTTCATATATAATTAAAAACAAATAATTAATTCTTTGAATATGTACAAAAACATACACATTATTCAATAACTTACCTTCAAAGTTGTCAAATTAATATATTCCAATATATTGAGGCAAGTCGGGTGGGCATATGACTTGCACTGATAGCAGCAGATCAGAGCTTCGTTGGCACCGAGCCTGTTCTTTGCATCAGTGCCAAGACACTCCGCACACACTGGCACTCCACCTGGACTTTGCTTCTGGAAATATATGAAATAGAAACTTAAACTTATTATATTTTAATTTTAACATACTGAGACATATTATATATATTAAATATTATTATATTTATTACAATAAATGTATGTATGTATTCAGCCCTCTTTTACAATGTCCCACTGTTAGGCACAGACCTTCTTTCAATATGAGAGGGATCAGGCCATAGTCCACCACACCTGGCCAAATGCAGATTGGCAGATTTCACATGTCTTTCGAAAACTTTCTAGGATCTCTCAGACAGGCAGGATTTCTCACAATGTTATCTAAAATAAATGCCTTTACGCAAAACACTTCAATACACACAGCAAAAAAACGTGACAAAAATCATATAAAGAAAGTGAACAATTTTAATAGGAATAGTATACTTAAATTCATAGAACAAGAATAATGAATAAATTAACAAAATATTTAATTTATTATTTTTCTTAATCTAGCCAAGAATCTGTAGGGTGTATAAATTGTACCCAAAAACAAAGAAAAAATAAAGAATAGTTTTACTATGATGCAAACAACATGTAAGTATGTAAGAAATTTTATCTGTGCAAAAACTTTTTTAAATCATGATTCATTTTGCTGAATCATTCTAAGAAAACATGTTGGTTGACTGATTCCCCATTTTTTTAGATATTTATAATTCACTACACTTTTATATCAAGTGGTTGTTTAGAGCCAAAACTTGCCAAGATGAAATGAAATATAATCATTTATAGTTTTAAAGGAAAAATCATATAGAATACAACTTAATCAATCATTATAAATAACAGTTTGCTGTTACAAATAACTAAAAAAAAATAGTGTTTATATTGGTATAAGTAAATATTGAAAATAATTCTTAGTTTTATTTACGAACTTTCAGGTTGTGTTAAGGAAAATATAAATAAATACATTATAAATCAGAGTTACACTCCATTCAAGTAAAGAATGAATGAGTAGTAGTGAGTACTGTTTATGTTTTTGTTTACTGATAACAATTTATGAATGAACTTAAACATAGTATTCAAATGTAATTAATTTCATTCAATTTTTTTCCTTTAATGTTATATTTATGTTGTGCAATATTTTGTAAGAATTTGTAATAACTCACATTTCTTATGTGAATTAAAGCTCTTATTTGATTTTAATCTAATGAGGTATTATGTCAATTTTGTTTGTATACAACTTACAATTTCTGGGCTTTCTTGAGTCTTTCTAGACTTTGAAATGCGATCTGTTGCTGTAAGTGGACGATCTGTCGCCTTATAATTTCCCGCGTGGTGAACCAGCAACCCCCTGGCTACAGCTCGCTTCGCCGCAGCACGCAAGATGTTTCGAACGTCAGTATTTTCTTCCACAGACACTTGGTACGCTTGCCGTAAATGTTTTTCAATAGTCTTTAAATTTGAACCGTCCCGTTCCCCTAACTCACGCACTGCCTTCGCCACTGCCCGCGAAACATCTACATCAGCGGCGATCCGTAAAATTTTACTTTGCAAACCCCCCGGATCCTTGTACGAACTCTGTCCCTTGTTATACACCTTCAATACGACACCCTCACGCACAGCACGCTCCAGCCGCTCCGAAACAACGTCCTCATGATAATTGTGGTGCTGTCTGATCGCATGACATATCCTTTCCACACTAGGCCTCTGCTTTTGTGACCTAATCTTATGTATCGCCTCAAGAATCCATCGCTTCCACACTTCTTTTCCAACGTCGTCCGGTTCGCTCATTTTTATCAACAATTATTTTGTGCAGCCGTCAAAGTAACGGTACGGTATCGCAGCTAGAGATGTGTCAACACCCATCGTATTTTGGCGCCTCAAGCGAAATTCCATTTTATAAAATGGAACTTCGCCGGAAGCGACCGGTAAATTCGGTCGCGATGCGAGACGCCAGTTTACAGCATGTCCGAAACGCCGTCGCCACTAGATGACACATCGGGCCTCACGAGTGAGTTTTGGCGGAGCGAGCATCCGACGGCGGCCATCTTGTGGCAATCTCAATTTACGTAGCGAACAAATACACGCGACGTAAATAATGTTATCTTAATGAAATACTTCACTTTGATCGTCGAATTAAATCTTACACTGTCACAATTTACGTCTTAAAGATCACAAATATTAAAATAAAACTAAAATACAGCACAGTCCGTTCCGGTTCCTTTTTTCACAAAGCGCATTCACCAAACAAACAATACTATTGAGAAGTGTCTATAAATAAGCTATTTTATAAAAATATTACATTGTACTAGTGCAAAACTACTGTCATATCATAGAAATTTTCCAAAATTTTGTTGAAAACATTCACAAAACACTAACAAAAGGCTCTTCAAAATGGCTATCAATCAGTTTCCTTGCTATAAGAAAAAATAATTTTGATATCCTGTCCGTCAGAATTGTATTGCCATTTTTAATTAAAATTTACATCATAATAATTGGGGTCATTTTATTATCTATGAACACTAAACAATGACACTATAAAAACCACAATAAAAAGTGAAATAAATCAGTAACACAAATGCTTTTAAAATGAAAGAATAATTTCAAATCATTTAATATTTTAAAAATGATACTTTAAACGACATAATAGTACTATAAGACCTATGTGATAAAAAAATTTCCTCAATGTTACCAGACGAATAAAGTATAGTTTTAGAAATATAAATCTAGAAATTTGCCAAGTGCTCTTCTAATATATTTGTACTTATGTACATGAGTCTTTTTTTATAAACTATTTACTATCTAATATTACATTACAATTTTTGAATCATATTTTTTAATTATAATACTATATAATAAATATTATACAACAAAAAAAAGTGTACGCGCAAGTAACAAACATTAGCAGTCTTCTTTTTTATGAAAATTGTTATGTTTTTTGCACATATCTGTGTATAATTGCTTGTTTGTAATATTCTTTATTCCCTCATATCTTCCAAACCACTCGATGGATATCTTTAATTATGGTATCGTTAGATTCGTCTCATCAGCCCAGGTGTTCTTAGATAGGTGATATAAAAAATTAAATATGGGGCAGTGCTAGATTCCATAATGTGAAAAATAAAAAAATGAATATTGACGAACTATGTCAAGTGGGGTATCGTTGAATAGGTATTTATAAATCATTTTTAGGTTTCTTTCATCATTTTTCATTTTAAATATCAGTTTAGGATATAAAATGATGTAAAGTTAGTTAATAACCATTCTCGCTAATTTTCCTACTTAAAAATACTTAAAAAGCTGTAAATAAGAAAATATATTATAAAAATAAAAAACGTGACTGCATAAAAGCTAACTAAAAAGACGAAAACAAGTTCACGATGGAACATAGTATTATGCAGTCGGAGACATACCTACATTCGAGTATGCACATCTCGCAGCAAGGATGAAACGAGTGTCTCCAACTACATAATATTATTATATTAATTCGTAAACTTGTTTTCATCTTTTTAGTTTTTTTTGCAGTCGGGTTTTTTTATTTTTATAATATATTTATTTATTTCTTATAGTTTTGATTACGCTATCCCTTTCACATTATTTGGCAATGTAGTACTAGTCAGTAGTGGTTTGAATAATATAATATATATGCGTGAATACGGGTACTGCCGCTGAATTCGGACTCTTTTTTCGCAAAACATTATTGGTCATTGGTCGGACTGATAAATTTCAACTATCTATACTAATATTATAAAGAGGTAAAGTTTGTGATCATGTGAGTTTGTGACGTTGTAGGGGGTAATCTCTGGATCTACTGAACCGATTTTCAAAATTCTTTTACCAATAGAAAGCCACGTTCTTTCTGAGTGTCATAGGCTATATATAAACCCGAAAAATGAAAAGGCTTTTTCGTGGTAGTCAGATTTGCAAAGTAAGTCGGAGAAAAAACGGTCGAACTAAAACGTTTCTTACGAACGCTGCCTTAACGATGAGAGATATAGGAATATGTTCTAGAGAAAAGTTGTAGAGCTTAATAATGCCTACAAAAAAGTCAGCGACAGCATATGTCTAACTTTTATATTTAAGTCACAAAAAGTAGACTTTTATATTAAAAAAATAATTTAAATCGGTAGGTCATGTTTATTGGTCATATTATCAACAATTATGAATTCTTATCAAAATAAGTAAATTTATCGTCTAAAATATTTAAAACAAAAGACTTTTTTTCCCTTTTACTGCATATAATTTGGACAAATGGTTAAAGAGATAATACAACATATTCGTAGGTATGGACGAACCTGAGCGAGCTGTTTGTCTGTTTTTCTGTTTGTACGGGCTAATCTCCGAATCTATTGGACCGATTTAAATGAAATTTTGCATAGTGGTACCTTATATCCCCGTGCAACATCTTCAATATTTTTTATCCCGGAAAATTAAAGAGTTCCCGTGGGATAGTTAAAAACTATAGTAACTATACAACTTAGTACACAACAACTTACGCACCTAATTTCGTCAAATTTATCATGCTGATACCTTATATTGCCGGTCAAGCAACAGGTTACTTTTCATCCCGGAAAAATGAACGGTTCCCGTGGGATAGATCTGTTTGTGCTTTTCTAGAGGTGAACCCGAGCGAAGCGAGGGTGAGCCGCTAGTTATAACATAATTTTATAGAAACCTATTATATTATACAATATGAATATATTATATTAACCATTATATATTACACAATCATTTAATATTGTGAAATTTAAAAAATATAATGGCAACATTTATATTTATTTAGCAAAGCAAAGAATTGCGAATTTAGCGCGACTTTTACAAACTTATTTTGTAAATTTTTAATTTTGCTTACTAGACAAAATTTTAAGATTGCGATTTGTTAACGGCTAGACTGAAGAAGAATACAAAAAACATTTTCTGTAAAGAACTAAGCTACGCTTACCTAAAGTTATTACTTTTATATCATTTCATCAAGAAACTTGAAATTACCTCCAAAATCCAAATTCATATTTGAAAACAATGAGGTAGGTATAATTTATAAATGTATTAAGTTTCAAGTTTGCAAACATAAAATAGTATTTGCGTAGTAGTATTTGTTATTTAATAATATTTAAATTTGTGTAACATAGTACTAGAATTACTTTTATTTTTATATTAAAAGTACAGTTGAAAATTTTATATAACGCATTTTTACGAATCGACTATCAAAAAGCACGCCAGGCTAGCGACGCTAGCTTAATTTGAACTTTTAATTTAATGGCAGCGAATACGTTGAATTTCATTGTCTTATATACAACTTTAACTTTCTAAAAGTATTCTTATCTTAAATATTGTTGACACTCGGCTGGCACCGACTTCGAAAATATCTGATTAGGTATCTATTTTATATGAAAACCCCGTTTAGCAATTTTTTACATTTTAATGCCTGGAAGTCCTTTTTTTTTAAGTTTTATATTTTCTTTTATCGGCACTATCTATTAATGAAATAACGGCATTCAATGTAAAATATTATTCTACAAAACGTTACTGTGGTACTTAAGTAAGGGTCTTATATACTTAGTCCAGGACTTTCTTTTAAGTTCAATTGATCAAATTATTATTATTGAGAGACAAACATCTTCACAAGCCTTTCATATTTTATATTATTAATAATAATAATTTTTATTTGTATTGAACTATTTTTCTATGTATCCATAGTCCATAGGAACATTGGCTATAAAAATAAAAAAAACGTACTTTGTAGAAAACACATTTTATTCTCATCAAATATAATAAGTACAACAAATTTATTCCTTGGAACAGGTAACAAACACAATTTCTAACCAATACATCTATTTATTGCTATATTATTACAGGAAGAAAGGGAATGAAACAGTACGACAAACTAGGTCTAGCACAAAGAAATTACCAAAATACAATTCGGAACCAAATCTGGATAAAACATTTATGAGAGTAACTCGAAGTATGAGTAAGAATTTGAATACAGCGGAAAAAAAAACCTTTACTATTGTTGAGGTTTACAGATGCATGCCTCTCTTGGGTGGTGAAGAAAACATACCAAATTGGCAAGTCCATATAATTAAATATTCGATTGAATTTGTGAAAAACTAAAATAATATTAGTGTTACTGTGTAACTCTTCTAAATCTCTATTGATTCATGAGACTGTATTTTTTCTTAAAACTTAACTTTAATATTGCTATGATTTCGAGTTAAATACTTAATTATTAATAAAACAAATAATGTAAATAAAAAAAAATCGCAAATTGAAATATCACTTTTGAAGCATTAGTTATGTTTATTTACTTTAATTTTTGCGTAACATTAAATCAAGCTAAAAAAGACAAAAATTAATCTTAAGTTTTGTTACTTCTTATGTTGGTTCATGTTAATTACTTAGCTTTGTTTAAGTTTAAAATATTTTATGATAGTATTATTTTATTTTAAGGAGACATTGTTTTTAACATTTATAAATCTTTAATAAAAGACAGACAGATATATTTTTTTTAACTTAATATGTAGTTTTATTTTCAAAATAAATCCCATAGTAACTTATCTATAGGATACTAAGATTGCATCATTTCTATTTTGAATAGAGTTTGAATTGAGAATGCACAAATGATTATAAAATGGAGAATATTTTAATTTTGTTAAATTTTCTATGTGGAAAGACATAGTTATTATACATTATATTAAAAAGCAAGTTGAGAAAATAATTGATTTTAAATAAAACAACGTTTTTTGAACAGAATTACCATTCAATTAAGATCTAGTAAAAGTGAACTTTGTGTTACCACTTCAAAAAAATTAAGTTGACAACCCTAATGATATAATACATTAGTGTTGTAGTACACAAAGTAATAACTAATCAATTAATGAGTTAGATAATGGCAATTACATAATTATTTGACATCTGATGTGATGGATACCATTTGATTGTGTGATTAAGAGATGAATGGTCCTAAATACCACAGATAATTCATTAATAGTGGAGAGTAGTGTAGGATATATTAACACAAATCTAATAGTTTTTTTTAAACGTTAAACCAGCTATTACATACATTTATTGAACACTAAAACGACTATTCGATATAATTTTGCATAAAAACTATTTTATTCTGAGATCAGATCTATTATTAATACTTAGTTATTCGGTTATTGCTATCTCATATGTGTAAAATTCCTATTTTAAATATACAAAGTTTAAAACACCCGTTTATTCAAAGTTAAGACTATGATTAGCTATTAATTGACATAAACACAGATTATACAGTTTCGGTAGTGGAGATATTCAAATATATATTTAATTGCATTTTTATTGATGTCATGTAAAAACATCCAAAAAGTCGATAAAGAAATAAAATCGATTTTAATTAAAAAAAAAGATATTAAGAATCGAGAAATTAGATAAATCGATTAGTTCATTGTTACCCATCATTAGCTCTCATCAAACTCACTGTCACCACTGAATGTACAGCCAGAGTGTTGTATTACATGGGTCGCTGTGTAGATACCGCATTTTGCGCATGTCTCCCAACTTTTCCCTAAAACCATTTGACTGAGGAATCCTCCTGTGAAAGCGTCACCGGCGCCATTTGTATCGACAATTTGTTCCCTCGATAGCTTTGCTACAGGTACGTGGGTAACTTTGGTCCCTTCGACCAAAATGACCGGGTCCTTACCCTGGGTTATAACGACTACACGTTGTTTAGAATTCAGTTTTGGTAGCGAAGCGATTTTTAATGCAACAGCATGCAAGTCTGTATCCGTTATGTTGAATGCTTTTGCGAAAGCGTCTGCTTCCTGGAATATAGAATGATGAATTAGTTGAAGTTTAAGGCATACATAGATAATAATTGCAGAATTGACATGGAATATGAATAGTGAAAAATATGACAATATCAAAATATTGATGATATTTCTATCTAAATCATCGATCAAAAAAGTACTAGATACACAATCCCATGCAAATACATCTCTTAAAACTGTCAGCAATTGTGTTTACCTAAATCTAATTATTCTGGTAGAAATAAATATACAACTATATATAAATTGAACCTTAAATGCAATGCTTAAAGTTGTTTTCACAAAAAAAATATGAGCACTCATTTGGTGAGAACATTTTTTGATCGATGATCTAAGTCTATTTCCTTATTCGGGGTTGACGTTTATAACTGTAACTTCCCACGAGATAGCACTATACTTCTTTAACATAGAAACCATTCACCATTCAAATTGGTATTTTTGACAACTTTTGGGGCCTTATCATGCTAGCTTGGGGAACAAAAATATAAAATAAAACCGCAACAGTTTCTTTTAAAATTTTGGGGTGAAAGATACTTGACGACCTATTCTCCTACCTACCAAATATACAAAAAAAATTAAAATCGGTCGAGCCATTTCGGAGGAGCGCGACCACAAACAACGTGACACGAGATTTTATATATGTACTAGCCTTGCCCGCGGCTCCGATTGCGTTCAGATGACCAAAAACCAAATTCTAAGGTTTTACATATTAGTTTACTTGTACAATTACTCTTACATTGCAGTTTTTCCCGCGATAAAAAGTATCCTATATATTGACCTGGATAACCAGCTATCACCATACCAAATTGCATCAAAATCCCCCTAGTAGTTTTTCTGTGATGCGGTAACAGACAGACAGACAGACAAAAATTTCTAAAAACTATAGATTCGGCGTCTGTATTGATAATAATGTTTATTTCAATAAGATTTTCCTAAAAATATTTAATGTACAGATTCGGCTTAGTTACAATTTTATTATATGTATAGTTAAGATAACACTATGAACTTACCGCCTCGTTTCCGAACAAAACGTCGACATACGGCAGCAACTGTTCGAGCGGCTCCTTGTAGAACTGAGATACAAATGGCGCGCTGAGATTCATGATGAACGTGTGACCGTTCTCAAGCGCGTGCTTCGCCAGCAACATGATCGACTCGGGCGATACAGCTACGAAGAAACCCTGTAAACAAATGAATAAATAATTTATACATTACTAGCGGCTCACCCTCGCTTCGCTCGGGTTCACCTCTAGAAAAGCACAAACGGATCTATCTCACGGAACCCGTTCATTTTTCCACGATAAAAAGTAACCTGTTGTTTGACCGGCAACATAAGGTATCAGCATGCCAAATTTTACTAAATTAGGTGGATTAGTTGTTGTGTACTAAGGTGTGTAAGTTACTATAGTTTTTTGACTATCCCAAGGAAACTCTTTAATTTTCCGGGATGAAAAGTAGCTGATTTGTTTTTGTCATGTATGAACTATATTATTGTAAAGTTTCATTAAAATGCAATCATTAGTTTTTGTGTACTAAGCTGTATAAGTTGTTATAGTTTTTTGACTATCCGACGGGAACTCTTTAACTTTCCGGGATGAAAAGTATCTAAGATGTTGCCCAGGGATATAAGGTATCACCATGCAAAATTTCATTTAAATCGGTCCAATAGATTCGGAGATTAGCCCGTACAAACAGAAAAACAGACAAATAGCTCGCTCGGGTTCGTCCATACCTACGTATATGTTGTATTATCTCTTTAACCATTTGTCCACATTATATGCAGTAAAAAGGAAAAGTCTGTTGTTTTAAACATTTTAGACGATAAATTTACTTATTTTGATAAGAATTCATAATTGTTGATAATATGACCAATAAACATGACCTACCGATTTAAATTATTTTTTTAATATAAAAAACTACTTTTTGTGACTTAAATATAAAAGTTAGACATATACTGTCGCTGACATTTTTATAGGCATTATTAAGCTCTACAACTTTTCTCTAGAACATAATCATATATCTCTCATCGTTAAGGCAGCGTTCGTAAGAAACGTTTTCGTTCGACCGTTTTTTTCTCCGACTTACTTTGCAAATCCGACTACCACGAAAAAGCCTTTTCATTCTTCCGGTTAATATATAGCCTATGACACTCAGAAAGAACGTGGCTTTCTATTGGTAAAAGAATTTTGAAAATCGGTTCAGTAGATCCAGAGATTACCCCATACAACGTCACAAACTCACATGATCACAAACTTTACCTCTTTATAATATTAGTATAGATATATCATAAAATTCTAATTTTTTGGAAAATCTTCAGATTAGACCAGCGGGTGACCCATGAAGTAGGGTAGGGATCGGAAGTTTGAACGCGGCCGCAGCCGCGGGTACTGCTAGTATTATATGTATATATTATACATTTTAAATGTAAATAGAGCGTATTGTGTATAGTGACCTAACAATGTTACTTGCCTAAGGTGAAATTAAATTGACTTTTGTATTATGGCTTTTACATTATCTAAATGAAACTGTTATTGTAAATATCAGGCGTATATAGGGTTGCCAACTTTAAAAAAAATAGAGCATATCTGATTTCAGAGAGGGTAAATAAAGAGTGCCAACTTATAAAAAAGAGTACATTAATTTTAATTTAAAAAAAAAACGCATTTTTGTGCCTTTTGCGGCACAACTATTTTTCATCAATTTTAAAAGAATTGTATGACTCCAAACATTCTAAATCTAAGTTAATGTAGACCAGAAGTTCATTTTTTATTAACTTCAATGAAACCCAGTTCCTCTTTTCCCGCCACTTTGCATTCATTACTGAAAAGGCTTTCTCAGTAATGGCTGAAGCGGCGGGAACAGAGAGTTTATGAATAACTAACAATTTTTTTCAAATAACAAAATCATCAGGACTTTTTTAGGCTATGACAATGCATAGCTGGTAGTAGTATAGTAAACACTGTGTAAATAAAAGAATTTTAGTGTACTCTATTAGTATGACAGATTATAAAATACTCCTAAATGAACAATATTCTATTTTAGAGTGCAGTTGGCAACCCTAGGCGTAGGTGACCTTTTTCTCATAATATGAGATAAGATTGTGAAAGCAAACGTTATACCTATATAGATAGTTCTGCTTAACTTTAAGTTTTACTTGGTTTGAGTGAATGAATATTTACTCGATATAGGTATTATTCAACGCCCAACTTCATAGGAATAAAATTTCAATGTTAACAAAAAGAATATGCGAAATATTTATTGAAAATTTGATGTTTTGTCATTCGTGGTAGTATAATTTAAATATGTTGGGACATTAACACACAGCTACATCTATTTCCACGGTAAGCTACGAGGCTTGTGTTATGGATACCAGATAGTTGATACATTACTAAATCGTTGGAAACAATCTATTGTGATTTTTACCTTTTGGGCTGTAAAGAGATTAAAATTTAAAATATTATTAATAATAGTAACCTGGGATCTCGGATTGATAACGCCCCTAAAACAATAATTAAAGTACAGAAAATAAAAAATAATTAATTGATTAGTAACATAAATTGAATAAATAAATATGTCCTTAAAATTAGTAAATTGGGGATGTTGTTCTCAAGAAGACAAAGATGATAACGAAAGATTCATAACTTGTAACAGCTGCAAAAAATCCTTTCACTTTTTGTGTTTGTCGATACCAGAAATACAATCAAATACAGACATTTATAATAAATGGAAATGTCCTTCGTGTTTGAATCGGATGCCTAAAACGTCTAAAAAGGATTCTACCCCTGTTCGTAATATCTCCACAACACGAGGCAACAAGAGGCCTGCACTGAACTCACCACCAGAAGAACACAGCTTAACCAGTGACAGAGTACGTGCTATTGTTGAAGACGTAGTAAAGACTGAGTTGAGTGCTATGATGGAAAAGCTAAAGTGCAGTATGCTCGACATAATAAATAAGGAATTGACACCAATTAAAAAAGAAATAAGGGATATGAACGAGTCTATGACTTTTATCAACAGCAAATTCGAATTGATCGAAGCCGACCAATTAAACGCGAATAAACTCCTAAAAAAATATACAGGAAGATAACAAAAAGTTGGAAAGCACAGTGGCAGATTTAACACAACGTCTGAATTACTTGGAACAGCAGTCTCGTTCAAACAACATTGAAATCCAATGCGTCCCTGAAAAGAAAAGCGAAAACCTATACACTATCGCGAAGGCCTTATGTACAGCTGTCGGACATGAAATAAAGGAAAAAGATATACTGCATTGCACCCGTATAGCCAAACTTAATAAATCCAGCACTCGTCCTAGATCTATTGTCATTCAACTGGCTTCTCCCAGGGTACGTGATGATCTCCTCGCATCAGTTATTAAATTTAATAAAATACATGCTAATAGTAAGCTTAACGCAAGCCATCTGGGATTTCTTGGCAATAACAGTCCAGTCTATGTCACAGAACATCTGTCTCCAACAATTAAAGCTCTACATGCCGCAACAAGACAAAAGGCCAAAGAAAAAGGATATAGTTTTACTTGGGTGAGAAACGGCAGAATTTTTGTCAGAAAGAATACCGACACTGAACATATTCTTATTAGAAATTTGGATACCTTAAAAAAATTAGCCTAAAATTTGCATTTCCTATGTTGTCTTCATTATTTTTAAGTTTATAATGCATGTCATAGTCACTATTTTTATTCAAATTCAATTGTCTCCAGTTATATTATCAAAATAGTCGAGGCTTAAAAACGAAAACACTCGACTTTTACCGTAACGTTTGCTGTCATAATTATGATGTTATTGTTATATGCGAAACGTGGCTTAATAACTCAGTGCTTAATAGTGAACTATTCGATGATAGGTACGTTGTTTATAGAAGAGATAGAGAAAGTGTATTATATGGGCGTGGCAGAGAAGGCGGTGGAGTATTGATAGCTGTTAATAAGAAGTTTAATTCTAGGCGTCTAATGGAATGGGAAAGCGATTGCGAGAATCTATGGGTGATGATAGATATCCCAGTTATGCATGGTATTTTTAAAATTGTTCTTTGTGCAATTTATCTACCACCACCTGTTAGTCCTTCAACTTTGGATTATTTTTTAGATAATTGTAATGCTGTCTTTGAAAAAAACTTGGATATGAATGTATGTATAATCGGTGATTTTAATTTAGGAACACTTGATTGGAAGTCATTAAATGTAACAAGCAATACTCGAGCTTCTAAAAACACTAGTAAAACTATGATTGATTTTACAAATATTAATAATCTAAATCAATACAATGACATCACTAACTCCGCTGGCAGGACACTAGACCTAGTATTGTCCAATAAATCATGTAATGTTAAAGAAAGTATAAATCCTTTTAGTATCGTTGATATATTACACCCACCGTTAGATATTACAATATGTTTGGATAGTGAATTAAAGTTATCTTATAACACTGTACAAAGACATAACTTCTATAAAGCTAATTATGTGTTGATTCGTGAATATTTGGGAGATCTAAATTGGGAGGATTTATTTTCCGGAATTAGTGAAGTAAATGATATGCTAGAGATTTTTTACAATAAGCTACGTGAAGCGATTACAAAATACGTACCATTATGCTGACCTAAGAATCAAAAACACCCACCGTGGTTTACTTATAAGCTTACTAAGGCGTTAAAAGAAAAGAATAAGATCCGTATGCGCTATAATATATACCAAAACCCGCGTGACCGTATTGAACTAAACTTACTTCGTAAACGTTGTGATAGGTTAGCAGTAGATTGTTATCACAAGTACATAAGTAATATTGAAGAAAACATTTTAAAAGATCCAGATTCGTTTTGGACCTATCTTAAAGTAAAACGCAACGGAACTAGTACCTATCCTCATAGGATTTCGGACGGGGTTACGTCTACCTCGGACGGTGCCCAAATTTGCGAATTGTTTGCTAAATACTTCTCATCGGTATTCTCCAAGGATGATAGTAAATATGCAGGATATGAATACAAGTACTTGAAATCCATAGAGCAAAATAGTCACAATCTTGTTGTATCAGAAATAGGTCAAAATGAATTATTGGATAAATTAAAGCATTTAAACTGCAAAAAGGGGGCAGGGCCTGACTTAATACCGCCTATCTTTATTGCTTCATGTGCCTCTGAACTGGTCTATCCACTAAAATTAATTTACAATAACTCTTTGGCTTCTGGTGTTTTTCCGTTGATATGGAAAAGTGCTAAGGTAGTACCGGTTCACAAGTCTTCGAACAACGAAAACGTCTGTAACTATAGACCCATTTCTATTTTGTCAGCTTTTGCAAAAATATTTGAATCATTAATTTATACATACTTTTATAAACATCTAAAACTATATCTGAGTGATCGTCAGCATGGTTTTGTTAAATATCGGTCTACAGAATCTAATTTGGTCCCCTTTACTGAGTTATTGGTTAGAGCAGTTGATTCTGGCTTTGAGGCCGATGTACTCTATACTGATTTCAGCAAGGCCTTTGATAAAGTTTCCCATGAAATTCTTCTTTATAAGTTACGAGCCTACGGAATATCAGGATCTTTATTGAAATGGCTACAGTCATATCTAAAAGACAGGTCTTTTTATGTTGCAGTGAATGGATATCAATCTTCTACTCATGAAATTTCTTCTGGTGTTCCCCAAGGATCACATTTGGGTCCATTACTATTTAATTATTTTATTAATGATATTCCTGATTGTTTCCTTTTTTCTGAGGTTTTCATGTATGCCGATGATTTGAAGTTTGTTAGAGTAATCCGATCTGTTGATGATACTAGGCTTTTGCAGAGGGACCTAGACGCACTAGTTAGATGGTGCGATGATAATAAAATGCACCTGAACCCTAAGAAATGTCTGTATATGAAATTTAGTAGGAAATATAATAACATTGTATCGGAATACTATATTAAAAATGTAAAAATTGAAGAAACGACTAGTATGCGTGATCTTGGTGTACTATATGATCAGAAATTAAATTTTAGTACGCATATAGATGATATAATTCAAAGAGCCTCTAGAATGCTAGGATTTGTTTTAAGGAACTGCAAATCTTTTAAACACATAAAAACAAAAATATTACTTTATAACACTTTAATTAGAAGTATTTTAGAATATTGTAGTGTAGTTTGGCGTCCTCACTATGCTACACACACACTCCGTCTTGAACGCATACAGAAACGTTTTCTCTGGCATTTATCATATTCTGTAGGCATACATAAAAGAGTAAAATCATATAAAAGTCGTTTAGATCATTTTAACATGGTCTCCCTATCAACGCGTAGAACAATAACTGATGCAATGTTTGTATATAAGATTATAAACAATCATATCGATTCTCCACACTTGTTACAGTTTTTTAAGTTAAGAGTCCCATCTAGAATTCCTCGTCAACCCATTACGCCACTTTGCCCACCCCTAAGTAGAACCATTTTAGGTTCCAACTCCCCCTATGCAAGATTATGTGAAATTATTAACATTTGTAGCGGTAGCATCGATCTATATCATGATTCCGCTGCTAAATTTTACAAATCTGTTGTTAATTATATAAAAGAATAACAATCTAATGTTGCGTTTCTTGGTATGGTATGGTTAAGTTAATTTTTGTGAAAGTTAGGCATTATTTTTACTGACTTCTTTGTTATCATTATAATCAATTTGCATGTGGAGTTTACCTTTAAGTAATTGTTACACTATTACAAGAACATCTAAGATTGTATACTAATTATATAAACCGTGTAAACAATTGTTGGTAAACCTAAATAAATAAATAAATAAATAAATTACACAATATAACTTTAAATACATACATAATCCCCCAGCGGGATTTGAACCCGCTACCGCAGAGCAAGTAGGGTCACTACAAACTGAGCCAAACGTGTCGTCAAAAAATTTAGACTTTATTTTATTAATTTTCTCTTGGCAGAAGGTAACGATGTTTTTGGTCTTGTCGAAAGATTTTCTAAAGGTACAGAATAAAGATACTAGTCAGTTCAGTCTATTAAGGAGATTTAAGATACCATTTGAGCTTCCATTTCCAAGCTGTTTATTCCATATATTTTTTACTTATAATATTAATGCATAGATTAAGACTTACAGAAGCATAAAAGAACTTGGCGCTCTCAATACTTTTCTTGCACTCCTCTTTTTCCAAATGGTCGGGCGTGAACTTCTGCGCGGCCGCCAAGTTCGCGCACAGCGACCGGTGCGTGCCGGTCACCAGCACCGCGCACGTGCCCGTCGGGGCTTCCTGCGACACTTGGTAGTGTACTTTTACACCCTCTGCACTACAATAGAAATTAACTATATCAATCAAATATAACCTACTGGAATTAATACTTATTTCACTAATATTACTTATGACATAATATAAAAAAAAACTCCTTTAAAATACACAATATTACCGTAGTAATAGTTCAAGTTATTTAACAAAGGCATTACATGAAAAAATATGTGCGAGAGACGCTAATAGCTATATGATTAAAACTTCTTAAGACATATTAGTAACGTATAGGTACTAATTAACCTTGAATTTCAATTCAATTCATCGCGAGACTTGAGATGCGCAGTGTTTTAAATGAAAAATCATTAGTTCCAGACGTTGCTTGTTCACGTCTAACAATATAGATTATATTCTAAGAACTTATTGACACTTCGATTATCTTAGCACAAATCTAGAAGTTGTACAGTAGGTATTTGGACGAACTAGAGCTCGAACCTAGGACTATTTTAGGTTAGCCCGCTAGACCAACAAGGTAGTAAGTAGTGTAAGATTCGAATTAGAATTATGCCGTTCTGAAACCCGGTTTCTTAAACATTAGTGATCATCGGGATTCCTGCTAACTGTTTTATTTGAAACTAGCATTGCCCGCGGCTTCGCCCGCGTTCAGATGAACAATAACCAAATTCTTAGGTTTTACAGATTAGTTTACTCTTACATTGCAATTTTCGCATTTTTTTCTCAAAAATGAGATATTTTCCCGCGGTAAAAAGTATCCTATATGTTGACCCGGATGACCAGCTATCACCATACCAAATTTCATCAAAATCCCTCCAGTGGTTTTTCTGTGATGCGGTAACAGACAGGCAGACAAAAATTCTAAAAACTATAGATTCGGCCTCTGTATTGATAATAATGTCTATTTCAATAAGATTTTCCAAAAAATATTTATTGTACAGATTCGGCTTAGTTACAATTTTATTATATGTATAGATAATACTGACTACTGCGCACGCGCAGCCATTTGCAGCATATTATAGTAGCACTGGTATAATATTATTAGAGTATTATATATTTCGATTTAGCTAAACACAATTGAGTACAAGCGTAGGAGAGGTAATCAAAAATGGAGATGGGAGGACGATACCCTAGGACCATTTTGGACAAGAGTGGTTCTAGATAGATTTCAATGACGAAAGTGGAGGAGACGTTTGCCAATAGGCACATGGAGATCAGAGACATAATCTACAATTAAAAACAACTATTTATAATATTTACTCTCTGAATAAAGGTCTTTTTATTTTATTTATGAACACAATTGACATAAATGAGGCCATAGCTGTCGGCTGTCACCATGGTTGTACGCTTTCGATTAATACCTATAAAAAATCCTTACTTGCAAAAGGCAGAAATTTCAATATATTTCTTAGGTATACAGAAATATATTAAAATTTTGCATATTTGGATTTGCAAAGTGAAATAAAAAGGTCGGCAATAAAAAAATATTACAAAGCACAGCGTGCTTAATCATGAATAACATTCAAATATCAAAGGAAAATAAACATTATAATATATTTAAATTCAGTGTCTCTAACCTTGAATTTCACAGTTTATATTTAGTATAATTAACATTTGATGGCAATGTACACAATTTGCAGAAGGCATATTAAATCAACTTTAAAAACTTAAATGAATAGACTAATAATTATACTTATACTGTATACAGTGATGAGCAGTTAGAACCTAATGGAAGGTACATAGATAGCCATTATCCATACTGATATAATGTGTGTGTGTTTGTTTGTTTGTCCTTCTTTCACGTCGAAACATAGTGACGGAATGGCGTGATTTTTTATGTGGAGATAATTGGAGATGGAGAGTGACATAGGCTATTTTTTACCGCGGAAGATTATCTCAATCACACCGGAAAACACGTTATAATAGAACCCACAATAACTCATCATACTATGTATATAAAAAATATAATATGTATATAAAATATCTATTCCATACAAACCGTTAAAGCGTACCGGACGAACCCGAGCACAGAGAGGGTGAGTCGCTAGTTCGATATTTCGTATATTTTGTTGTTATATGTATCTTATATTATATATGCATGTGTAGTTCTCGATTTTCAAGCCGTTTTTTTGGGATTTCCCTATATTTTTTTTATATGTAAACCACCCCCAACAAAACAAACAAAGAATTATTCAAATCGGTCCAGCCGTTTTTGAGTTTTGGCGAGACTAATGTACGGCAATTGATTTTTATACATAGATAGCTATGAAACTTAAACAGATGCTCCTACAAAAGGCCATATTTAACGCGATAAAGCGGTCAAATGTTATCAGACGATGAGATCGCAATACACCGCTTTAGTAAAAGTTCAAAAAGTATTTGTTCATATATTGTCAAGTACGACGTGATAAGATAGTACATACTTGAATCTAACGGGTTAAACAACGTAAAAGTTAGATATTGACATGTGATTTCTAATATTTAAAGATATTATTTCTATTCATGATTGATATATATTACTAATCTTAGTATGTAATTATAAATGTGAAAGTTTAGATATTTGGATGTTTGGATGGATGTTTGTTACTCAATCACGCCAGAACGGCTGAACGGATCTGGATGAAATTTGGCACAAAAATATAGTCTGAAATAGCACATAGGCTACTTTTTATCCAGGAAAAATATACGGTTCCCGTGGGATAGATTTGTTTTTCTAGAGGGGAACCCAAGCGAAGCTAGGTTGAGCCGCTAGTTTAACTAAATTTGGCCATAATATCGTCTGGAGCTTACTCTCATAGTCCTGTGATTTCTTGTAGGTACCAATTTAGAAAAGGGAAATCTATATACATAATAAACTAAATTCTACGGATCCTACGGCGCCACGATTTGGGCTGATTCGCATAGATCTCGACGAGATACGCCGAAAAGTAAGAAAAATTTTTTTTGATATCTCACTTAGTTTCCGAGATATTGATACTCAAAAATTGAAAAATTAGTTTTTTTTGGCTAAGCCTAAAAAGATACAACTTAACAATATGTTAGAAAATTCTAGGTCTTAAAAAGCCTTACAGGAAAGTCCAAAATAGCATAAATCTATCTCCTAAGGTACACTCATAATAACTACTGAATGACAAAATTGACATAAGGCTGAAACAAATTAATAATGCCAAAAAAATTTAGTATGTTAATTCCAAAATTATGTATTCCAATTTCATGGACTCACTATTTCTCCCAGTTTTAGATTATAGATATATAATATCCTTGAACGTTCAGTAAAATTTGATTGACACTTGGTTAAACGAGATAAAAGTATATCAATTTAACAATAACATGTTTTTATGATAAATAACTGTTATATAAATTTCCTTTGCTAAAATTGAGATACACTTGTTATATATCAAGATATGATATTTTTTGTATAAAAAATATAAAAAAACACAAGAATAGGAATATGTATAGTTAAATTATTATTAGTGATGAAACGGATAGTTGTTTGGCCGGATAAGGAATTCCGGATATCCGGCGAGCTGTAAGGCCGGATAATAAGCCGATTGTCACGTTGTATGTTGCGACAAATATAATTATACATAATACATATGTCACTCTTAAAAATTTAGGCTTAATCGGTTGTCATCAAGACTTAGTGATTAGCGAAAGTTAATTGTTTACTTGCGTAATCACTTTGCGGGGCTTATAGATAGATGGTGGATGGTTAACTCGAAGCATACACAATACTTAGACAAATGTAGCCTACACTTGTCAAAGTTTGCCAGAGAGTATGTTCAGCACCTTGCTGCCTTTACAAGATAATTTTCTATTATTTACCTCACAGATATTTTTTTCTCACAGTTTATTCAAGAAAAACGTCGCAGTTTTTAAATATTCGGTATCCGACCGGATATTGCGTTACTATCTGGTAGTCGGCCAGATAGTAAAATAAGACCGGATAAGTTGGATACCAGATAGTTACCAGATATCCTTTTCATTTCTAATTATTATCAGTAACAAATTCAGAATAATAATTTTCTATTGTATCTAAATGGTTCTAAAAATTGTAAAAACATCAATTAGATGCATTAATATGTTAAAATTGAATATACATTCAAAAAAACTTACACAGCTCTTTCACTTAATATTTTGGCATAATCATCATTTCCCACACATCCAAAGTAGCAACAAACGTTGGGTTTCTTCAAAATCCACTGAGCAACTCTTAAGGAGTTTTGCACACTTCCTCCAGCTATGAATTCTGCATTGTATCTTGAAGTTAAGAAAATCAAATATTAAAATCAATTTATATATAAAGAATCATCTCATAAATGCTTTACATTTTTAGTGGAACTTGGATCAGAAGTGAATAATTTAGAAAAGATTAAATAAGTATTGAAGTATAAATATTTTTAAATTAAAATAGTCAATTAATCTGTTTTTTTTAATTCTGTATGAAAACTTTACACTTACTTTTCAACTAGCTCTCTATAAAGAGGCATATGTTTTTCTTCAGCCATAATAGCATCATCTGGGTGTAGGTCATATTTTTTAAGCAAATCTTCATTGACAATAGCAGAAATGTCCAGAAGTGGGTTTCCAATGCCCACAAGCAACTCTTCTTTATCACATGGGCACCTATAGTTTTTTTAGGACTCATTAAATATATGGAATAAAAGAGTAGAATTAAAAAGCTATATTGAAAAATTTAGTATTATAGGTAATAAAATATATAAATCAATATTCAGTAGAAGACATGTAAGTGTTATTTAGCGATATTATGTGAACAATTACTTAATAATTTTTATAGCATAGGAATTTGTTAGATATTTGTATTTAATGTTTACGCCTTATTATTTCGAGACGCATTTATTCAAGCAAATTAAATTCACCGGAAAGGAAGATTAATAAGCTAAAAAAATTTGCTCACCGAGGATCCATTATGTAATATAATTATACAACAACTGCAATTATGAATACCGTTGAAATTATATTTTTAAATATAAGTAACGAATATGATTATAAAATAAAACTACAGTTATCGTGCAAGGAATCGATGCATGTTCCTTACGTTTACAAAACGTGTTCGCTCCTTCCTATCTCAACGACGAGTAGATAAAATTTTATATTCTGATTTCTGTGAAATGTCATAATATGACAGCTTTAAGCCATATATTGTATCTATTTGATATTTCTGTTATAGTTCTCTATGGACAGGGGTTGTCTAAGCTTGTTTGGACTTTGGAACATGTGTTTCAAATATATATATAGAACAATTAAATAAATAATTAAATTTGAATTTAATGTGCTAATAAAATTTTATAATAAATAAAAAATCTATATACGTTTTCGGTACTTAAACAACAAACATTTCTTATATTAAAATTTGTTCTTTCTTTATATTTTTGTGCATTTATTATATTTCAAATAAAACTTGCAATTTTTATATGTACAAGTGCTATAAAAAGTTTTATAAGTTATAACTTAACCAAGGACATTTATAATTTTAGTTTTATCTGTGTCTATGATATAACCTACAACCGGCACATAAAAATCACGTTTTGCGATTTCAACGAGAATCTTCGAGAAGTACAAGTTCAGAGCAATCTGAATATTCTGTGAAGTCCTTTAATTCATTCCATTTAACTTAAAAAATGTTGCGTCTGCCTCGTGTCGTCCGCCAAACTGTTTCCTTACAAAAATCTCTTCAATTCTCAAGATTTTATGCCAAAGATGTGAGGTTCGGCGCTGATGTAAGAGCTCTCATGCTCCAAGGTGTAGACGTCCTTGCAGATGCTGTCGCCGTGACAATGGGCCCAAAAGGTAGGAATGTTATTTTAGAACAGTCTTGGGGTTCACCGAAAATAACCAAAGATGGTGTAACAGTTGCGAAAGGAGTAGAACTTAAAGACAAATTCCAGAATATCGGTGCTAAACTTGTACAAAATGTAGCGAATAACACGAATGAAGAAGCTGGTGATGGTACCACAACAGCCACAGTACTCGCCAGAGCCATCGCCAAAGAAGGTTTTGAAAAAATTTCAAAGGGTGCAAATCCAATTGAAATCCGTCGTGGAGTGATGTTGGCTGTAGACGCAGTAAAAGAGAAGTTGAAGAACATGTCAAAGCCAGTCACAACTCCTGAGGAAATCGCGCAGGTCGCCACCATTTCCGCAAACGGAGACACTGCCATCGGCAAACTCATCGCTGATGCTATGAAGAAAGTAGGACGTGATGGTGTTATCACAGTAAAAGATGGTAAAACCCTTACTGATGAATTAGAAGTCATCGAAGGTATGAAATTCGACCGAGGTTATATTTCACCATATTTCATTAACTCTTCAAAGGGTGCAAAGGTCGAATTCCAAGATGCCCTCGTTTTGTTCTCTGAGAAAAAAATTAGCAATGTGCAAACAATCATTCCTGCATTAGAATTAGCCAACCAACAAAGGAAACCTCTTGTAATAGTTGCTGAAGATGTAGATGGTGAGGCTCTATCCACATTGGTAGTAAACAGGCTTAAGATTGGCTTACAAGTTGCCGCTGTAAAAGCACCAGGTTTTGGTGACAATAGGAAGTCTACTCTTAGCGATATGGCCATTGCCACTGGTGGTGTAGTATTTGGAGATGATGCTAACCTCATCAAAATAGAAGATGTCCAACTTTCTGATTTTGGACAAGTTGGTGAAGTAATTATTACCAAAGATGACACTCTTATCCTTAAAGGAAAAGGCAAGAAGGCTGACATTGACAGAAGAGCAGACCAGATTCGTGACCAAATTCAGGAAACCAACTCTGAATATGAAAAGGAAAAATTACAGGAACGTCTTGCAAGATTGGCTTCTGGTGTAGCTGTATTGCACGTTGGTGGTTCCAGTGAAGTTGAAGTCAATGAAAAGAAGGACCGTGTGAATGATGCTTTAAATGCTACCAGAGCTGCGGTAGAAGAAGGTATTGTACCCGGAGGTGGCTCTGCTCTCCTCAGGTGTATCCCAACACTCGATGAACTTAAGTCATCTAACAGTGATCAGGCAACTGGAATTGAAATTATAAAGAAAGCTTTAAGAATGCCGTGCATGACAATTGCACGCAATGCAGGCATTGATGGATCTGTAGTAGTAGCTAAAGTAGAGGAACTTGGTGCTGAATTTGGATATGATGCCATGAACAATGAATATGTTAACATGATTGAAAAGGGTATTATTGACCCCACGAAAGTTGTAAGAACCGCTTTAACAGATGCTAGTGGAGTTGCATCTCTTCTGACTACAGCGGAAGCAGTTATCTGTGACATGCCTCAAGAAAAGGAAGCTAACCCAATGGCTGGTATGGGTGGCATGGGCGGCATGGGTGGTATGGGAGGTATGGGAGGAATGATGTAAATTCCCTGTGGACTAATATGCATTTATAGTGTAAAGGACTGTCACACATTAAGGTTACAATGTTATGAACGTGTTATTTGTGCAGTGAATGAATTATTTTCTTTTATTGAGTCTGATTGCGATAGAGTAGAGACACGCCTGTCATAGAATTATTTAGTTTAATGTTTGCTTCAGTGGAGCAAGGTGTTATTTTTTAAAATAAATAATAATGTTGAATAATAACTTTTGTTTTACTTTAACACTAAAGATTACTACTTGTTTATATTTAACAAATAAAGAACTTGTTACATAACTCTTTCGTTATGAATTTTATGTTTATCTCATTGCAAAATTTATTCTGAAATTTCATTATTCTATACTTGCAAGTAATAGTAGACTTATTTCATTTGAGTTTCAATAATATTTTTTAGTTTCTGTCAGAGATAAAGATTTATCTTAATATTTTTTATTGCACACTTTAAAACAAAGCTTTGTAATTCTACAGTTTTATTTTATGGGTAGTAGGTTTAAAGTTACTTTAAGAATGCAATGTTAAGTAAAATGTTATAAAAAATTAATAAAAATTATTTCGGTAATGAATATAAATTTCATGAGCCTTTACAAAATAGTTCATAGGTTACAAGAAACAACACATTCAAAAACATTATGAGTACAAAGTCTGTGTGGTTTTTACTTTCTATTTATTATTTAATTAGGCAGCAACATATGCATATTGTATATAAATATTATTTTTTTGGCTAAAGATAATTTAAGTTTAATAAATACATTATTCTTATAACTTGGTACCTACATAAATTTCCTGTGGGCTAAGAGGTAAATGGTAATATAGTTGGTGTGCGCAAGGTGTAGTTAAAAATCCAAATTTAAAATATTTTATACAGCATTAATTAAATTTTTTTTTTACAAAATGTCATGAGTCTACTACATTCTAGTGGTTGCCTTTTCGTATGAAATACCTAAATCTAAATTATTATAAAACTAGCGAAAGCGGTAAGCAGACGTCCTGACTCCTGCTGTAGGTCTTTTGCCTGAAAACAAATATATATATATTCGATAACATAGTCTGTCAATACATACCTACATACAAAAGAAAACAAAATTCGTTAAGAATTAAGGAGAAGAATAACGAAGATACATATAAAATAAATGACAAATATTTTGAGTAAGAAAGGTATTGGCACGATTTCTACAATTCATGTAACTTCACTTCAAGGCAGTGCAATGACCTATAAGATAATGTACCTACACAATACTATCTATTGTAATACCAGTTATTCTAAAACTTACGACGTCATTTTACGCAGATGTTAAACTATTTATTTTATTATTTTACTTTAAAATAATTCTTTTTAAAAGCATAAATCAGAAAAGTACCTAGTATATACACAATCCCATGCAATAGTTCTGTCACCAATTGTGTTTACGTAATTATACTATTTAAAATAAATATACAACAATGTAAATTGAACCTTAAATGCAATGCTTAAAGTTGTTTTTTGTCGCTGATTGTGTGTCTAGTACTTCTTAGATCGATGTTTAAAAATTAAAAGTATTTATTCCACGTAGTTTCTTCTCAAATCTGTAAATTATAAAGTTATAACATAATCGTGATTCGAGTGCCATTACTTCTGTCAAAGCTGATTATAGACACTTCTTACTACCTATTTCAAATTCCCTATAGTAATGATAATTCCCTATAGTAGTGATATTCCAAGTGTGCTCCACTCTGCTTACATTAGTGCTGCTGTTATTATTTCTCTCTATCTAAGTATCTCCCTTAGCCAACATAATGAAATCAATCAAAATCTGTATACCTATTTAACACAAAAACCTATCCTTAAAGGCCTAGGCTCTAGAGCCGCTATACTCAACCTGCGGCCCGCGGGCCGCATGCGGCAGCATCAAAAATCGCATTATAACATATCTTTGTTAAAAAAGTAACTACATCGTTAACCTAAATAATTTTTGCTTACGGCCCTCACACCATGACTGTAACGTGTTTGTGGCCCCTATAAAAAAAAGGTTGAGTATGGCTGGTCTAGAGGCTAGAAATAACGACAAAAATAAAAAAAAAGTAATCCCAAAAAAATGTAATAAGCACGCCTACAATGTCTGGATGCTACAATAATTACATATTACGTAAAAGCGACGTCTTACGCAACATTGAGAATTCTTGAGGTATGCGAACTTATCTACAGTAGGCTGGCACTATAAAAATATATCACCTTTTTAAAGTCGGTTGATAAATTTGGTTAATATGTATATATTTTATTATGATACTAGCAGAACCCGTGGCTACGCCCGTATTCAATCTACAAAAAAAACTCTTTGGCTTTATGTTATACACTGACAGTATTATATATACCTACTATTTATGTAATACTAGCGACTCCCCTCGCTTCGCTCGGGTTCGTCCCTAGGTTGCCTCCCCATACAAACTTTCATCCCCATTTCACCCCCTTACGGGATGATTTCCGGGATAAAAAGTATCCTATGTCCAAGGTCTCAAACTATCTTCTTACCAAATTTCATCTAAATCAGTTCAGTAGATCCAGAGATTACCCCTACCCTACAACGTCACAAACTCACAATTCACAAACTTTATCTCTTTATAATATTAGTATAGATTGTTCCTACAAAAATACAATCAAAGAATGGGGGGTAGGGGTAGGGGGGTAATACTTTACAACCTATTCTCATAACTACTAAATATTAAAAAAAAAAAAAAAAAAAAAAAAAAAAAAAAAAAAAAAAAAAAAAACATTAAAATCGGTCGAGGCGTTTCGGAGGAGTGCGGCCACAAACATAGTTAATAAATAGGGGTGATTAAATTAGAATTATCTTGAAATAGAGGCCACTAAAAACAAAACAACTTATAAGTTAGTATAGGTACAGTCAAAAAATATAACGTACTTAGATAAGTTTCATACAAAACCTATAAGTACCTACTTATCATTAGTAATTAATTACATTACGTTGTTAAAATAAATAATAATGTTTTAACCAATCTCATATAGGAGAAGGTGCGAATTCGGGTACGTATGTATGTTTGTTACGCGATATCTTTGCAAATTGAGCACTTTAAAGTTTTTATAATGAGTTTAAACCAAATCGTAAATTTTAGTTTTTATTAAACTACGCGTATTGCGTATTGCTACTAATAAGTTTTTTTTTTCTATTTATGGGCAAGGATTGCATGTAAATAAGTTAAATAAACCAAAGATATATCATATAGACAGATATCTTTGCATTGTGATCATATTATACTCGTACAAAATGGAAGTCAAAATATTCTACCCAACAACTGTAGAGTTCACCTAACCGCTAGATAGAATTGATTATTAAAAATTATTCAATAGATATCTATGTGCTAGGAGAATCTACAGATTTCAGATCTATAGAATAAAACTACAGGGGAAAACATCTCTAAAATGGTAGGTTTCATCCCCTATTTTAGCACTTTATGGGATGACTTTCGAAAAATGCTAAAACATGTATTTATTTAATTGTATTGAAGAGCATTTATACCAAGTTTCAAATATTTATGATTATAAACAGTTTTTTGGATTGTATTATAACGTGTTTTCCCGTGGGAATGAGATAATCACCCACGATAAAAAATAGCCATGTCACTCTCCAATCCTCCAACTATCTACACACAAAAAAAACACGCCAATACGTCACTCTGTTTTGACGTGAAAGAAGAACAAGCAAACAAACACACTGGAACACATTTGTAATATTAGTAAGGAAATACATAAAATCATTATTATTTATTATTCAATAGATCGAATAGGTCGAAGGAGGTCTTTATCGCATCCAAATTTTATGATAATGAGATTCACATTGCTAATAGTGTGTCAAGAACTGTCCTTATCAAGTACATAATCGGTGATAAAAATAAATAGTGATTTGATAAGAAAAGAGCAAAGTTCTGCTAATTTTTTACATCATTTCAAATGCAAGAGATGTATCGTCTGTATTTATTTAAATATTAACGGTTTATAAATTAGCATTCATATTTAACCTTCAATTTATAAAATGTCTTTATTAAAAAATGAGCATCATTAAATCTAAGATTTAATATGAATTTTGCTTAAAAAAGATAATTTAAAATAAAACAAATCGTATACAATAATACAACTAATAATATAATAATATTTATTAAAAATATTCATCATAAAATCAATATACAAAATAAACTAAAAATATAATCTATAAAAATATCTGCTCTTCATCAGAGTCTCCTGTACCATAAATAAATCGTCTTCTTACAACATTGCCTTCCATTGCATTTTCCATTTTGGCTACATCGTTCTTGCAAGGCGTCACTGGGTACCGCACTGGACCTAACCACCGTCTACTTAGCCCAAAGTTTCTTGGGAACGCCACATTTTTCAAAGAACCACTGTGCACTGACTTATCTAAACTATTTAGGGACGATTGAATGGATTTTAGAGATGATTTCTTTATAAGATCATCATCGTTTAAGTAATTGTCAGATATATGAACGTCTGCGGGAATGCTTAAGCTCAACGGTCGTCGTTTGTGCCGATTGTTTAAATGTCCTTTCCACGTATTAAATTTCTGGGTATTCTTCTTTTGTGGTGTATTTTCTTGGGAGGAATAATTCCCAACATCCGATTCTTCGTAGACTTTATTCTCAGAAGAACATTTTTGTAAGTTACTCGAATTATGCGTGCTCTGTCTATTTGATTTATCTTTCATACGACTGATAACTTTTTCTTTTGTCAATTTTATTAAAGCATAAATTGTTTTCAAAGCTTCCTCATTTAGTAGTTCATCATCAGTTAAGTCTGCATCCAGAGCACTAGCTATACCATGCCTTAACGTATTTTCTAAACCATGAGATTCCGAGTTTAAGACACTATCACATTGGTCCGAAACGCTATTCTTAGTCGTATTTTGGAGCACAATAAGTTCCACTTGTACTGGTGCTGCTTGCAGCATATTTAAAGCTTTGTCATATTTTAAGTTAAGTAAAGTTTGTCCGTTCACTGATATTATTTGATCTCCGGGTAAAAGTTTCCCGCATAAATCTGCAGGACTTCCTGAGGTAATGGATTTTATATACACATTGCCATCAGATCCTTCTGCAACTTGAAGACCTAAAGCATTCATCTTATCTCTCTCTAGAACAGCCGTCACAAAAATCCTTTCCCCTTGAACACATTCCATATTGTCTAATCTTTCAAATATAGAATTATTTACACAAGATTCGTTTCCCGTGTCATAATTAAACACGTCAGAGTAAACTTTCGGAGATTCTAATACATAGGCGGTTGGTGCTTGGATCATATTTTGGCTGTATGACCTCTCGGGTAGCAACTTCATGCTATTGACATTACATTGTCTTTGCTCTGAGAGGTCGTCGGAATCACTATGTGTCGTTGCCAAATCACCGTCCGATCGGACCGACAGAAGTTTGGAAGGCGACCGCGTATATTTACCATTTAGCGTTGTTTTCATACCATTAAAAACTCGAGTGCCCATTTTAACACCATGTCTTCTTGGTAAACTACTTTCTGATGAAGATAGGCCTTCATTTGATGAACTCCTTTGACCATTTTTCACCGGAGAATTTACTAAGCTTTCGTCGCTCAGCGGAGGTGATAAAATTTGTCGTAATAACAGTTCAGTATTGGGTCTTTCGTTTTCCTTATTTTGAGATTTTTTATCACCAAATAAATCCACCTTAAATCTTCGCCTAACTGGTCGTCGAATTTTTGTTGGATTCCTAACAGCTATATTATAGCTATCTTGATAATTACTACAGTCTGTCTTCTTGGGGCTATCTGCATTCAATGGACAGTTTAGTTCACCTGATAAATAATTTATGAAATCGTCCTTTGCATATAATTTTAAATATAATCGATGGTGTAATGATGCCAACCAAAAAGCAAAATAGCTTTTATTGTCTAACATTTTAAGTTTATATTTGATCCCTATTTTGGATAGACCAGAATATGCATTAGGCATTATGTACAGGCTTTTTTTGTTATAATAGAATGTGTGTATGTGATGCCATGGCAAGCTTTGCAGTACTATTCTGTTTGGATTCGAAGTAGAATCTTCTGAAATTTGATTCGTTCTAGAATAAATAGTAACACCCCTGGGGCCAATGGAGAGCCATACATCGCGACAAAATCCGTCTCTAGTAGCCCATATTGCAGAGTAAAAATGTGCACCATAATCTCTAAAAGTCTGTGCAAGGGTTATATAATTTACAATAGCTTTGCTTTTGTCTAAGCCTCGTCGGGATTCGTGGGCCCTTTTCATGCGAAACTTAACATCTGCCATATCGTTCGTTATTAAAGATTCAGGTAAATAATGTTCCAGTAAAAAATAATCAGCAGTCCCATGTTCTCGGTAAGAAAATTCACCAAACTCAATATGTAATGCATATCCTGCTAGTAAAATGAGATTCGGAATGGTTGATATCATCTGTCCTTCAACAGTAGCTCGTCTGAGTTGTAAATACACTCTATATTGCCATTCACCACTTTGTATGCTATTTGATACATTTACTGGGAGGAAAAATTTAATTCTTAAAAATAATGTGACTGATATATCTTCATCTGAATTTTTGTTATATTTGTGGCTTGTTTTATGCCACCTTTCAGGTACAACTTTTTTTATTTTATAATCATCTGGTAGAAAAACAAAGTCTCCCCCAATTAATATTGCAATGCCAAGCATAAAATTGTGTTCATATTTTTCAGTAGTAATTAAATGTTCAAATATTTGTCCAGCTGTAACTGTATTTGGGTCACACAGAACTTCAACTCGTTGACCATTTAGAAGTACTGCAGTAATCAGTCTTTTATCACATAAAGCAGAGATGGTCAGGTCTAAGGATTTAACAGGTTGTGATGCTCGGACTATGAACTCTGGGCCTACACATTCATCCTTCCCTCTCACACTATCTGCTTTATAGAGTCTTGAAGCTGCTCTTTGTACTGGTTTACCTCTTCTAAAGTGACTATTTACAGGGACTTGTCTTTTAATTACTTTTTCTTCATCTTTATTAAGTGCCGTCAGTGAAATAGCATTGTCTTGTAATTCTGACCTCTCAATTTGTGTGCTGGTTGCTATATTTAGTGTAGAGTGAGCATTACTTAAGCCTCCTAATCTTGGGGTATCAAACAAGGTGAACACAGCTTTTCTATGGTTCCTTGGAAGTCTACAACTGGGAAATGGATCTTTTTCATCCGGAGATTTAATGATACTGGCAAAGTTTCTTGGTTGAGTGCTAACTTTTAGATTTGTGATTGAATCTTGTTTTCTCGACATTTTTTTAGCCTCAAACTGGTGAAAGTCTAAGACTGGACTGAGCGTTATTGAAGCAGCCGAACATGAACTACGCCCAGAATCTCCATCGCAGTTCCTTGGCATTTTTCTGAAAACAAACATTTTAATTTTGTTACACATTGTCAAATACACTTATATTTATATTTAAATATTGTACAGCAAGTGTTTATTTACTATATGAAACTCTTAAAAATATGAAATACACGATTTTGAAAAAAATCTCTATATATAATAGTACCTAGTAATTGTAATTGTTATTGGAGATACATAATATCTTACGTCGTAAGTATTCCCACGAAATATGCATAACTTCAACTATATATAATAACATAATACGTTACTTTAGCTTTCAAAGTGGTTCGCCTTGGTCACACATTGTTAGAAATATTACTAATCATTTATGAATTTTAAAATCAGCATAAATTTATGGAAACAATAACTTTATGCGAACTTTAGCTTTTTCTATAAAACTTACTTTCACTCCCGAAAGAAAATACTTCACATCACGAATTGATTCGATATACACTCCCCGGCTTTACCTTTTTTCTAATTATTCACTCATATTTACATAAAATTGAAAGCAAAATTGTAAATAACAGTTCAACCTGTCGTTTATAATTCACTTGTTGCTTAATTATTTTTTACTTTGAACTTTCTAAGTTGTAACAGTGTTGCCCATTAATGATTGTTTATTGCTTGTTTCATGCTATGTATGCAATATGATCAAAAGCACATATTATGCATATTTAATACAAAATGTGCATAAAATGCGCACGATGAATAAAAATCTTTAAATATCTTCATTTCTTCACTTCACTACCATATTATATTCCACACTGTATATTATAGTGTATAAACTTAGTTGTCTAAAAATTAAATTTAACTGTTTTTTTTATAATAATTAATTAAAACTACCGTTTAAGTTTATTTTGCATTGTACAGTAATAAAAGCTGTAATGTGTATTTTTAATATAGTAATTTAATAAATAAAAAATAATTTTATATCTCCAGGTATAAAATTAAAAAGATTTTTTATGTTCCTGTCCTGTTTTTATGCACGTTTTACTGATAGAAAAAGAGAAAATCATCTCACGTGTCTTCCAAATAGAGTTTTTGTGATAAAATATACATTATTCTAATTTATTGATTTTTGTTTCGTCATTTTAATCGGCAACACTAACTAGTATTTATTTTGACGTCATAATTCATACATGACATTTGTTAATTTCTTTCGTTTTTCTCTTCGATCGATAATAAATATTGACAGCTTGTTTCGCGTTTCTCACAAACAAATGATATTATAAAAGTGCAATAAAGTTACTGCTATGTGGTTATTTTGTGTGTAAAAATGGCTACGTTAATTCAGTCATATGAGCAGCAGTACTCGGTGCTTACAGCAGATATTACATCCAAGATAGGTCGATTAAAATCGGCCAGTGAAGGTCTATATTTTGTGTTATTTTGATAACCTTTATATCATAATTTTCAATTTTTAAATATTGTTAAAACACATGACCGATGTATTTTTTATACGAATATAAACGTAATGCGCAATTTCTTTTTTCCAGCCATATAATTGTAAAAAATATAATTATTGATATAGTATGTATTATTTACATAGGAACTTTAATTGGATTTATAAAAAACACAGTATATTTTAAATACATAAGATTTTGTAATATCTCTTTAATAATTTCTAAATATTTATTATTTACAGATGAACGTGAAAATTTATCCAGAGAAATACAATCAAATTTTGACGAAGCCAATGATTTGGTATGCTTTGTTTTTAATAATTTCAATTTTTTATTTAATATCCATTTTTAATCACTTGTAATTTATTGCTGGGTATAGAATATAATCTAATCTGTTAAAATAAATAATTCTGGGTAAAAGCATAATCACCAAAACAAAAATGCACATTAAATCTTAATAGGAACATTTTATCATTTTAGTTGGAACAGTTAGAATTGGAGTACAGAGGAGCAGGGGCTGGATCTCGAGTGGCAGCATATAGAGTAGAATTGCAAAGAGTAAGAGAAGAATACCGCTCTGTTGCTAGCAATTCTGCTACTTGTAAGTAAAAATGTTAATATAATATAACTACAATACTTTGCTCTGAATAATTTGTGACTGAGTTTTTCTAGCAGAAAATTTAAAAAAAGCACAATAGTTCTGCTTATGGCTATTTATATGTGGTCCGAATAAAGGTATGCCCTATACCTATGCTATGCTAAATTTCATGCTCAAACTTTTATATTTATTAGTTTATTTGTTTATTTAATATTTATTTACAATCACTTACAATAATACACAAAAATATCACCTTCAGGTAAATTTCTAAGCAATTAATTAAAATTCTAAGAAATCTATTGTTAACTGACAAGCCGGCCTGTCCGCGGTCATGGAGGGAATATAATAAGTAGAATTAAAAAATAGGAACTACATGAATGATTACTTACTTATAAACACAGCATCCACAAAATTCAAGTTTTTAAAATATTATAGTAAATATATTTTAGAAGTAGTAAACAGTGTTAATTTTTTTTACAGTTACATTATCCTTACATTTACATTACATTCTTAATCATAATATAATATAAAATTACCAAAGTTTGTTTTGTATCATTTTTATATTAGTTTGTTTGGTATCACCACACTTAATCTACTTGCTATCTCCAAGCAAATAGCAAGTATATATAATTATCCTTTTAATGTTATTTATTAATGAAAATGACAACATCTTTTTCTAAGTAATCTTTCCTCTTTGTTTACATTATTGTTCTGTTCATCTTATGTTAATATTAAAAATATTTTATCTTAAAATATATTTATAGTATCTTGTATTATAAAAATATATATTATTTTCATATACCAATTAACATTAAGTCGTGACACTTATATAGAACTACCCCAGAACTACCCCACCCACCACTCAGATGTAGTATACATACTATTATTAGGTCAAGTAATACATGGCCTTATTATAGGTATTCCTTTTGGACCTATATTCTATATGCACAAAATTAAACATAATATATTGTAATAAAATTCTTTAATACAAGTACCAATATAATTACCATACTATTATAATCCATACTTCTATACTTAATTATTATTATAAATGTGAAAATGTGTCTGTTTGTTTGTTTGTCCTTCTTTCATGTCGAAACGGAGTAACGATTTGGCGCGATTTGTGTGAAGATAATCAGAGGGCTGGGAGAGTGACATAGGTTACTTTTTACTATGTAAGATTTATCTCATTCCCACAGGAAAACATTACAACCCAAAAAAAATATGATCAGAATTACTTGAAACTTGGTATTAATGCTCTTCAATACAATTAAATAAATACGTGTTTAATGGGAAAAAATGGGAAAATGGGATGAAAGATTGTATGAAACATTACTTTTTAGAGTATTTTTTGGGTGTTTTAGCGCGGTCGTAGTCGCGGATTCTGCTAGTGAATTATAATTTTGCATATGCATTTCATATTATATTAAAATTGTATTAATTTTCATGCAAGTGGCCCAAATTGTGTTAAATCATAACTTTTCTTGGTATAGATAATATAGACCCAGATGAATATGAAGATTGGTCTATGGTAAATGACCAGCGACGCAAATTACTGGACAACACCGAGCACTTGGAAAGGACTGGGAAAAACCTCAATGAGGGTTACCGAGTTGTATTGGAAACTGAGCAGATTGGGGCTGCTGTGCTGCAGGACTTGAGTGCTCAGAGGGAAACTATTCAGAGGTCGAGAGGGCGGGTGAGTGGACTATGCCATATATTTGAGATTACATCAAACTGATCCATATGGTAGATTTTATCCAAACGCACTTGTCACACGTTTATATCTTAATTTTATCAACCTTTAATTAGTAACACCTATATTTTAGGACGTAAACTCTAGATTTTTCATTCAACTCAACCTCACTGAGGTAGTTTGGTATTCATAGATGTCCTGTCCTGTCCTTAAGGAAAAAACAACGCAAGTTATTTAACATTTTAATTTTAATTTAAATATCACCAAGGGGGAAGGAGGGGTTCAAATTATGAGAAAAACAGTTCACGTATTTCTTGGATGGCCCCCTAATGAAATAATGTAGAGTGGTGTGCATTTGAAATGTTCAAAAAGCTACTTTCGTCAAATTCAAAAAAATTGTTAAAAACTGTTAATGTGCTAAAGGCTATTATACAAACAATGATTTTATAGAAGGTGGCACGCCTTGGGAATGAAGTGATCGCCTCCAGGTTACTTCAAATTTATATAAATATTGTAATTTATAACTTAACTTTATAAAAAACAATAACGAGTGTCCCGCTGAGTTTCTTTCGCCAGTTCTTCTCAGGTCTGAGGCGTCTTCTTTCCGAACTGGCAGTAGACTCATGACGTTCAGTAAAAAATTGTAACAATTTAATGCTGAATAAAATATTTTGAATATGTATTTGTTGTCGTAACATTGGTGATCGTGTGCGCGTGCAGCTGCGCGAGACGGACGAGCAGCTGTCGCGGTCGTCGCGGCTGCTGAACACGCTGGTGGTGCGCGCGCTGCAGGAGCGCGCCGTGCTCGCGCTCGTGCTGCTGGCGCTCGCCGCGCTCGCCGCCGCCGCGCTCTACGCCTACACCTAGCCCGCCGCCCCCGCCGCCGCCGTGGTATGCACGCACGTACACACATATACACACGTACACTCCTACAACCGTGTATATACATACATACTTTTACAATTATATTAGAAGTCTGATATATTCATGGTCAGTCGTTACTCTAGCTGGCATGTACAGCTAAGATCCTGGATTCGAGTCTTGGGTTGCACCAAAACTAACTAATTTCAATTTTAATTAAAAAGACCAACTTCAAGAAATGCATTCGATCCTCGAGTATAGTATTATAATTCGTGTCTACGTCACGCGTTATTTCCGCTAACTCTAAACAGATTTTTATGTTATTTTGAATTAATATCTCAAAAATAATAACAAATATTAAAAAAATACCAATTAATTAAATAAAAAACTTATTCACTCATGCTATCTATACAGATAAATAAAATTTAAGTGTCTGTAATGTCAAAATAACAGCGTTTTACTAAATGCATATGAAATTATATATGGTACTAATAAGAAAAACACATATTTCTTTTTAATTTTTGTCTGTCTGTTCCCGATAATCTCTGAAACGGCTGGACTAATTTTGACGGGACTTTCACTGGAAGATAGCTAACCTTATAGGCTACTTCTATTTTAGAAAAGGAATTACGATTCCATTCAAAAAAATTAAAACGTACCTAGGGACGAACCCGAGCGAAACGAGGGTGTGTCGCTAGTATTATAATATATAATGAAGAAAACCAACGAAATGAACGAACAAAACCCTTACGGCAGGACTGCCGCGTGCTCGTGCACCGGCTGTACCTGGTGTGCGCGCGCGCGCTGCCGCTGGCGGTGCGCGCCTGCCTGCTGCTGCACATCGCGCGCGCCGCGCTCGCGCTGCGACACGCGCTGCTCCGCTGCGGACTGACCGCGCATTATATGTAGATAGATATTCATCGGGACAATGGCCTCACCGAATGAGCGCTCATATGAACATTTGAGCGCGATTTTAATATCTATTTATTTTTTGTGAAAACCACTTTAAGCATCGCGCTTAAGGTTCAATTTAGATTAATAATAATAATAATAATAAAGCCTTTCATTCGGACAATATACATATATACGACATACAGTTATGTTTCTTACACTACTGCACTGTTACATTTTTTTTATTCGCGTATTTGGTGTCTCTTTACTTTTTGTAAGTCCGTTTGAAAGTTGGCAAAGGCCTCCTCCAACCTACTCCACTCTGATCTCTCTCTGGCTACTCTACTCCATGTTACGCCTGCAACCTCCCTGATGTCATCGTCCCACCTTTTTTTGCTGTCTACCTCTTTTCCTTTTACCTTCCCTTGGATACCATTGTGTAACTATTTTGCTCCATTTGTCCTTTCCTCTCAATTTAGATTGTTGTATATTTATTTCAACTAGAATAAATATCTAAACACAATTGGTGACAGTTTTAAGAGAACTTTTGCATTGGATTGTGTATCTGATACTTTTTTAATTGATGTCCCGTAATGAAAAAGGTTTATTTATTGGCTTTATTATTTACTAAAACATCCCGTGTGACGTCATCACAAGTACCAGGCGTGCATAAGCGTTGAGGAGGTCGTGTGCACTCTTTGACGGCGCCCTATACATATATAGAGAGCACTCCTTGAGGTTCGTCCTCGTACTCCTAGTACTCAAAAGTACCAGGCGAGCATAAGTGTTGAGGAGGTCGTGTGCACTCTTTGACCGCACCCTATTCATATATAATGAGCAGTCCTTGAGATTCGTCCTCGTAGTTCTAGTACTCGTGACAAAAGTACCAGGCGATCATAAGTGTTGAGGAGTTATGTTGTAAGAAATTTGTGCGCTCTGTGCAGGATTGTCTTCAATAAGCTGCAATATGTACGCAGTATATTACTCGATGTGTATGCTGCCCTGGTACTCGTGGCAATGTGTTTGAGGCCGAGAACGAACTTCGTTCCTACCCCCTGTCCCATGACGTTTTTTTTCGTTAGTCATAATAAATTGTATTTGAAAATGTGCTTTACGGTTATGTTGTCTAGGTTTCTTTTTCATTGGTTTTAAATAAAATTATGTTTTCGATTTTTTTTGCGGATTTATTTTGATTTACATCAATCATGGTCGAGAGACTAAGGTTTTAGATGTCTCAACGTTCATTATATAATTATTACAGACAACACCTACCCACAAAATTATATAATGATTTTAAAAACATAGAAATTGCACCAAAGTACCTTATAATATTTGCTAGTTTTAATTTTTAACATTTTTCATAATTTCAATGTGTTTTGTAAATGAATTGTACATATTATTAATTTATTTTTAATTGCCATTATTATTATTACAATTAAGAAAAAACACACCAGCTATTTGTAAAACAAACATATATAGTTTTTTTGTATGGTGTGATGTTAAATGTTTATTTTAAATTTACAGCTTATATGTTTTTATTTCAAATCATATTGTGTATTTGAAGTTACGAATATTATGTGAGATATATAATGGACTTTATAGACCTAAAATCATTAATATATAAAAACATGATGTATGTTCTTAACTCCTTCAGGTAAATTTCTAAGAAATAAACAAAAATATTGTGCCCTTCAAAAGCATATCCATATATAACTTTTGTAAATAAATATTTGCCTTCACGTCAAAAAATATTAATACAGATTAAATATATGTAATAAATGTTGTAGAATGAATTTTATTTTATCTATTTAAATAGTTAAATAACATTCCAAATTAAGTTATTGAAAATTTAAATGTGAAATAGTACTTAGCAGTAGTTCCTTTTCCTTGTTAATTATTTTTTTAAGCTATATGTAAATACTCAATATTATTTTAAATTATAAGCTGTTTCTAAAATATCATTTAAGGTTTAATTTTATAATTTTGTATATAATTTGGGTTGGTAAATGAGCATTTATACTTTAAAAGCGTTTAAAAAAGGATGGGATAAAAGTAAGCGAAGTGTGGTTTAGAATATGTAATTGGATGTAGTTATGCAAAATAGATCCAACCACAAAAACTAACTTTTAGAGAAAATAGGAGTTTTAGTAAAATTAGTATATCAAAATAACAAGACCGTAGTTTTTTTAAATTCCTCTTAAATATTGGATATTTTATCTATTTTCTGTATATATGTTGATGTGTAGGTTCCATTTATGACAGTAACCCAAAAACGGTCTTCGTAGGCTGAATCCATTTTGTATAACCACGTCCAATTTATATTAGTTCTGTTAATTTATTTTAAAACTACTTGTGTTAGATGTAAGCATTAATGAATTGTATACTATGGATATAATCTTTGATGTGAGACTGTATGTACTAATATAGTTAGGAAATTGTAGATAGGTTCTAATGTTTGTTTGAGCTTTCTTTAATATTAATGTTTTAATTGCATTTTTAGTTCATTTTATTTATTGAAAAGCTTCAATTCTGTTCTAATAATCTAAATTTTTGACAATTGTTAGCAGAATTCATAATAAAGGCATAATTTATAAAAAATTGTACAAGTGCGAGGCTGAATCGCAAACCGAGTTTCGTAGTATGTAAAATTGAATTTAATTTGTTTTAACATTGTGTACTTCATTCAAAGTAAAATAAAATATTTACCCATATACAATATTTATTTTATCTACAGCATAAATAAGTTTGTATTTTTAGTATTGGTATGAGAAAGTTAAATTTGCGGCCGAACCTTGATCGGAATATCTCAAAAACTACTGAACTTATTCAAAATAATATTCGTTAAAAGTTTTTTAGAAGCTCTTCTATATATTTTTAAAATATGTAGTTTATTTTCCTTTGAAGGTCGGAATAAAAAAAATTAAATACATATAATATATTTTTATTTAAATTACAAACATATACATTTCGAAATTAAATATTTTTTATAAATTACCTACTTCTTATTAAGAAAAATTTTATTTTTCTATACACTTTAAAGTAACAATGACCAAGAACATTTACAACCACACCACAACAGTTATATATGTAAATTAAAATGTCACATTTAAATTTATTTTAATTATCACTAGGGGGGAAAATGGGTGGTAAAAGTTTGTATGAAACTCTCTAACTAATATGTAAAAAAGTACAAAAAATATATATATTCACCTGTAGATTATTTAAGTTTAAATCACTTCCTTTAAAATGAAGTCCACAATCACATAGCCTTAAATATAAAGATTGTGATTGCGCCAATTTTGGTCATCTTCGTTTTTGTCTTTTGGGAACAAATGATATCTATTTTCTTTGCATCAGCTGGCACTGCACAATTTGTCATTTTAATTAAATTAAATAAAATGAAAAAAAATCCATGGTGGGAGAAAAATCCCATCTACAAAAAAATAGATCAATGATCTCGTTGAATTTGACTATATAATAAATTTTGAAAAATAAATATTGACTATTAAAATAATTCAATTTATTTTCACGTTAATCTGGCTTATAGAAAATTAACCTTAATTATACAAAAAAGTCTAAAACGATATTACCTGATATAAAACTAAGTTATTGATGAGATACTCTACATTTAGACTAGAGGCAAAAAATGAAAAAAATAAATAAAAACTGACATTTGGGTAATACTATAAAAAAAATTAACAATTAAGTTTATATTATAAGAATTTTAATAATCTTCTGCTATAAGGAATCTATATATACATTTTATATTTCAACTTTTAATTTTCTCTATTACACAAAAACTTTAGTTGTTTTTTTTTTTATTTAGATTTGTGACATTATTTTATAAATTACTAGATTTTTTTACTTTTAGAAGTGTTTGAAAGATGTACTAATGAAAATGGATGAACTAAATAGTTAAATATTTGAAAAAATGCATTTCCTATATAGTTATCCGTCAAAAAATGTTTCAATGTTTTTAGGCCCATTCCCAATACTAAATAATTCATACACAAAATTAGAGAGAAAAATGTTATTTTCCATTAAAATATAAACCGAATAAAGGTATAAACTCTGCATTTACTTTACAAAAATGTCATTTTCTCAGACAGAGACGAAGTAAATATGCCCAGTCTTTTTTAGATTTATGTTAAATACAAATTATCTGTATATTATATTAGAAAGAGACAGTTAGATGGCGAGTCATCGCTTTGTCTCGCTCAAAATTTGGGTCCATTTTCTATGTGATATGTCGGCTGTAAACACTCGTCGAGAGCCCGTCGTCTCGACTTTCGAGTTTTTGGTGCTTTCCAGGCTCTAGGCCAGACCTACCATATACACAATCGGATCAGCCGTTGAACTACGAACACCGTTCACTGCACTCGCCATGATGGACCTGGATATTGCTGCTGCTTTTTATGAAACTCACGTAAACACAACAGCAAACTAAATAAACGACTATGTACATGTTCGTTCCTGTTTTTCTCGCGAGACCGAACGAGACCTCTCTACACACTCGCTCACCGCCTGTCTCGTGATGTCTCGGCGAGTGTGTACAGCCGGTATGACATTGCAAAAATATATTTCATGCCATAGTGAATGTAACAAAATAATGGAAATTCTTATTTAATTTAACATTTATTTAATATACGGTTTAAGTCAAATTTTCTTCAGGTTCTATTGTGTTGTCGTCCTCCACCGTCTCCCCGAGCGATATTAACCTCATTTTGTACTCGGTGAGTCTTGCATCCTGAAAAATAAAATAAAACAATTTTATTTCTCTTATTACTTACTGATTGTCATATTGATAATATTATATTAGACGACATATTAATTATTAAAGACGACACGTTTGGTTCAGTTTGTAGTGACCCCATTTTCAGTGCCAGCGGTCGCGGGTTCGAGTGCCGCTGGGGGTATTCATTTGTGCGAAGAGCACGAATGTTTGTACCCCGTTATGGGTGTTTATATTTATAATATGTATGTATTTAAAGTTATATCTATGTGTAGTGTATCAACTATCTGGTATCCATAACACAACCCTCGTAGCTTACCATGGAACTAGACGGTGCTGTGTGTCAATGTCCCAACATATTTATTATTATTAATAGTGTAACACTAGGTAATTTATGTGAACTTGATAAATTAGCGAATTATTGTTTTACAAATATAATTAGTTTTTGGGCATTGGTTGGTTTCCCTTAGAATATTCCTTTATATATATATATATATTCGAATGCAGGATAAATTTTACAATACTTATTACGCACACTACGTTAGTTTGTACATATTTATAAAATAAAACAGTGTAACTATTCGCGAATCAACGACATCTGTTATCTATTCAAGCAAACAAAAATAACCCGAATTAGGGCCGTCCAATTTCTTTGTATGGGACGAGACATCTGTACTACTATAGATTATGTGATCTGTGATACTCGTAAATTAATTCAGTTATTCATCCTATTGTTACTAAGAATATCCGCAAAAAACCTACCTGATCAGCGAGCAAAACCAGCAGATCATCCTGATCGTTCTTCAACTTCTCCAACTCCTCATTATTCTTCTTTATGGTGTCCTTGGCCGCCACCAGCTCCTGGTTCAGTTTAAGCACCTCCAGGGTGAGGGCGGAGACCTTGGACTCGTAGTCTGCGAGACGAGGGTCTGGCTCCGAGGGTGTCGGAGGAGAGGTTTGAGAAACGGTTGACAGTTGCGCTTTGAGCAGTGTGTTCTCATCTTTGAGGAGTGAGTTCGCTGCTAGAGAGTCGCTTAACGCTGTCTGGAATGTTTAAAGTTATTTGTGAAATATATGTATAAATAAATATTATCGTATAATTAAATTAATCGTTCGTTTTAATTAACCCGTTCGAGAACGAACGACGAATTATCCATTACATTACCGAAGTGCACCAATTTTTTATACCGCCTCCGAGCCCTGGATGTGCCCGACAGTCTGTATGTAAATATCGGTATGTCAGACGTACCCGCAGAGCCTGCGTCTGCTCGAGCTGGTACACGAGCTCCTGCAGGCGCGCGTCCTGCTGCCGGATGAGCTGCTTGTACTGCGCCAGCTCCTCGCCGCCCTGCGCCGCCTCCCCGCCCGCCGCCGCCGCCGCCGCGCCCTCCGCCGCCGTCACGCTCTGCACCACCACGCCTGTGCGACCGGACGTACTTTATTATTTCTACATACATGTTTATTAATTGTCTCTATAGTTTATTCACTAGTGGCTAGTGTTATGTAAAATATATATTATGTGTATGGGTTCTTGTTAACTAATACACTGTTAGAGTTTTTAAATGAAGGATGTTTTAATTAAACTTGATATACTGTCTGTAGACTTATTAGTAAAATGATAATGCAGTTGTGAGCACGAGGTACGCGAACTGACTTGATTTTAAAGAATTAAAATAATAATGAATGACGCGTGTTGAGCAAAATGCTGAGTTGTAAAATGTTACGGTTGCACCATACAATATATTTGTATAACAAATCATCAATCTCTTCAATCTACAGTGTGTGTAATGTCAAATGTGTGGAATGATGTCTGTGGTGAAAATAAGTTATATGTGGTGAATATATTATACTGCATAATTCGTGTTTTAACTCTTCATGACAAAACCACGTCCAACAGACTCCTGATACTTTCACCAGTTCAAAACCTAAAACCCTAACCACCCTCACCTTCCAACCCCTTGAAGAGCCTGCAGAACTCGTAATCAATGAGCACTTCCCCCGGCCCGCTGACCCGCAGCTGCGGGTGCTTGGCGGCGCGGTTGTAGAGCTCGTGGCGCGCCACTTCGCACAGCTTGGCCGTCAGCGTCTCCACGCCGATGCGCTTCACCAGCAGCTGGCGCAGAGCGTCCTTGGTGTAGTTGGGAACGCTGTCGTCGTTGAAATGCACGCAGATGGCTAGCAGGAACGCCGATAATCCTGTTAAATGGTTGCTTTATTAGAAAACTTCATTAGTCGGGTTGAGCGATTTAAAATTAAAACGTATGGTACTTAATATAAACAATGGTTACCTTGCAGCAGATACTCGTTGTCGTCGTGCTCGTTGGAGCAGGTCTGCGACACGAGGTAGGAGACGGCGCCCGCCGCGCGCAGCAGCGCCGCCACCGCCGCGCCGCACTGCGCCGTCCACTGCGACAGCAGCATTAGCAGCGCCACCTTCACACACCACCATCGTACACATCAATGTACTCGTACAACCAAACTTTCAGTTTTGACTTATTGTTTCCGAAAATTTTCGCGTTTATTAAAAAATATAGCACCTTGATATAACCTTTTGACATCTTATATTATTAGAATTTATAAGATATAGGATAGATTTATAGGGAATGAAAGTTGTCTTTCATCTAATATATTTTAATTTTAAAACTACTTTTTGCAAATAGCTAAACTTCAATCTTTAAATACTTTGTATTAGAAATGCTAAGTATAAATTTCTTTGTGATTATATAGAAGATTATTAAGAAACGGTACATAACTGCCAATGTTAAACAAAATGTTAAAAAAAATAGAATATATTTCATTGTTTGACGTAATTGTCTGCTTTTTAATTTACTATAAATATTATATAAATAAGTTACTTATACAAAATCACCACTAAACATAACTGTAACCTCACCTTCGACTGGAGTTTCGTAGTTTGCTGCAACAGCAGCGTGCACTGCTGGAGTAAAGACACCGGAGCACTCCCAATATTCGTTGCCAATAACACTCTTAGTAACTGCTCCTTTTGTCCAGTGTTATCTATGAGGGCATGCTTCAGGGCCACTGCTGCGAACCAGTTCGAGAGGACATCTGAGGAGAAGAGCCCTCCGCAGAGTATCTGACCGCTGGTCAAGCTTGAGACGTCGCTTGTGGAGGGAAGGAGGGTGAGAACTAAGTTGGCTTGGCTGATCTCGTTGTGGTAGAGGTAGCATTGGAAACAGTATAGAACTGCACATCTGGAAAGTAATTGTTTAGATATTATAATGAATTCTTTAGTTTAATTCGGTTTATGGACTATCTATTTTGGAACTGGTCCAAAGTTTTAGTAGAAAATTAAATAACTTCTGAAGATATATTATATTTGACATTAGAACCTTTTCTTGCATAATATATTCGAATAGCTATTAAAATATAATAAATTACCTATATTTTACCTGACTAGCTAAGCCAAAAAAGAGGGTAGCAAGATTCGCAGCAAGTATAAGATACCAATGTCCCAGACTACATAATATTATTTTAACTTGTTTCTTTCTTTTTGCACAGTTGGCTTTTTGTTTTTTTTTATTATTATTTTTTATTACAAGCACATATATAGTATTAAGTGACTAAGTTAAATAAAATTTACTAAAAAAGCCATGCCTACCTTAAAGGAAACGGCTGCTTCTCATTAACCATAGACATCAAGAGAACAATAATAGCTGGTCGCGGCGGGTACGAGGGTGCAATCACATTCCCGATAAACTCCTGGTTAGCAGCATCCCCTCGAACCACTTCTCCTACAGTGTTTATAGTCTCCGTTAATATATCAGCTGGAACTCCACTCGCCATTAAAATGTTACACAACGCATCCAATAAGCCGACATTTTTCATTATTTTCTGACAGCTAGAAATAATCTGTGCTGAATTACTTGGAGACACCAAAGTCCGGACTAGTTGTAGCATGCAGTGCACGTTGGCAACTTTCTGCGGGGACCAACCCGTCTCTTCTGAATCTTCGGGCATATTGAACATTGGTAGCATTTTTTGTATATAACTACCCTCTTTGAAAAAATTGATATTGCTGCTATTGTTTTTTAGTAAATTCAGCATTACCAGAAGGCAATCCTCAACTATGATTCCTCCGTCAGAATAACCTTCACTGTTAACTATTTCGAAGAGTCTATCGAAGGCATTTTCGAACGCCACAATTTTTTGTATGTTAGCATTGCCTTTTGTCAATTTTATTAATAGTAACAATGTCTCGTTCCTAATCACTTCTCTACTGTCAGCGAGGAGATCCATCATTTTCGAAACACCCATCGGTTTATCAAGTATTATTTCTTGAATATCTTTTGTTCTGTTAGTTAGGAGAGAAATTAGAAGTTGAACTGTCGAGAGCCTAACTCTAAAATCATATTCGTCTAAGAGGTCCAATACTAATTGTATATTTCGTGGGTCTTTAATGAACATTTCTGTGAACTGATCTCCAATATTGATTGGTAAATGTGGTTTGTCTTCTTCCTCTTCAAATTGTGATGGAGATACAATGTTATTAAGAGTGTCGAGTGCATAATTAATTGTTTCATTGTCTGCTCTATCTAGCTCTAATACCTATGAGAATGAAGGAGAACACTACATTTATTTAAAAGTAAGGCCAAACCATAGGCTAATTGCAAAATTTTTTTTGCCAATCCTGCTTTAACAAGTACAGGTTACTTGTAATCTCTATATTATATGGAATATGAATATTATGGAAAATTCAATTTTAGAATAGCGTTAAGCTTGTACAAAAACACATAGTTTAATAAAATGTAACTCGTGGGATAACTAAAGAAAATAAGAGTGCTACATGATAAAATCACTAAAAAAGGTTTTCGTTTCTCAACATCATCACTCCAAGCACACAGTTTATATAGTTCATACTCAATGAATTATATTAAAAATAAGCTGCACAAGGATCTACAAATTACAGTAATATTATAAGCTAGCAGCTCACCATCACTTAAAAACAAAAACATATCTATGCCTCGGGAACCGTATATTTTTCCGGGATAAAAAGTAGCCTATACGTAATTCCAGACTATAATCTATCTCTGTGAGAAATTTCGTCTAGATCCATTCAGCCGTTCTGGCGAGAAAGAGTAACAAACATCTATACTCACAAACTTTCACATCCTACTAATATTATAAACGCGAAAGTTTGTAAGAATGTCTGTATAGATGTATGTTTGTCCTCTTTCACGCCAGAACGGCTGAACGGATCTAGATGAAATTTAGCACAGAGATAGATTATAGTGTTGAATAACACATAGGCTATTTTTTTATCCTGGAAAAATATACGGTTCCCGAGGTTTAGGCTTGTTTTTGATTATCTAGAGGCGGACCCGAGCGTAGCGAGGTTAAGCCGCTAGTTTATAATATTAGTATAGATGCAGAAATTTTACTATATGAGGCAAAATATTTACTTCTGGTTTAACACTAGAAGAATAATACAAATTTGGATTCTGATTAAAAAATCTAAAAGACAGTAAATTTTCTATACAGAACACTATATTTATTATTTTATTTCTATTTACTTCAATATGAAAAAAGGATCCAAAATAACCGTTCCTTCAATCTTATCAATTTTTTAGAATCCCATAACTTGACAACTAAGCCTCAAATAAAAAAAATATTATGTGTACATGTTCAATGTTCATATCCTCCAGAAGTTGAAATATGCCTAATATGAACGAATTTCACAACCTCACTTTTTTTTTGTTGTCTGCTTCACATGAAATACCCCCTATGTCTACTATATTAATGATCAATTTATGTGTATGTTTGTTAGATTGTGTGTTATGATATTGCAAAATTATAAATGTTACTACATCTAAACATGACTCTTCTTTATCAATGATCTACTTTTATCAATTTTTCTCTTTTCTAATTATATTGATACAAGTAGATATTGTATCATATCAATATAAGATAAAAGCTTTTTTCCATTCTAAATTTCACTCATATCTGTTGAACCAACACAGTGTGAAGTACAAACACACAATATATATAACTCATTTATAATATCAGGTGAAAACTTGATATTCTAAATAATAGACTACAATTAAACAAATTTGGAAATCCATATATATAATAAAAACATTCTTAATTTGGATTAAAATAAGATTAAATGAAATAAAATGCAATTTGCCTACATTCCTACAATTTACTAATACATTTTTAATTACCTGTTTTAATGTATCTAAACCCTGAGCTCCAACTTCAAGCCTGTATTTCCTTGACATTGCCTTTAATGCTCTGCAAGCATCTCTTCTGTCCTCCAGGAGAGTAGAGTTGCTGGCTCTTTCGACTAATCTTTCCACCTGTTTCAAATTATAATAATTTCAATAAATATTACGTATGTATATTTTCTTAATTAATAAGCAATTAAAAATAGTATATAAAATATTTTATAAAATAGTTATTTAAAACAATCTCATCAATCAATTTATAATTTTTTTTAATTATGAAATAAATTTGCTTATAATATAAATGAATTGCTTACATATTGTATTAAATACAAGTTTGATTTCTTTACCAATGAATAAATTAAAGTAAATATAAGTTTGAAGATCTGAGTTATCACCCTATAGTAACCATTATTGATTACATTTATGTAGTATTAGAAATTTTTGTCAATATGTAAATTATTTTTACATTACGTGTACGGTTTATTGGCGTTTTAATTTTGAATTGTACCGAAATATATATCCACTGATATCAGATATCAGAATGTCACAAGAAATGCCACCCACATACATATCGTAAAATTTACAAATCCTTGGACAGCTAAGTTTATAAATAGGCTAATTAAACGTTTATAATGAAAAATAAGAGAATGTCACCGTATCAGCTACTGAAGGCTGTTGTCCAGTTTCAGGAGCTCCCAGGACTGTTTTAAGCCCACTCTTTAAAAAATCCATCTTGACTTATTTTGTACTACTTGTAGATAACAGCTTTTTTTTCTTACAGTATGTAAATCATAGCTAAATATTGAAAAACCGCAGCAATATTTAATAATCGCGACACGTCAGGGCATACACATTTGACATTAGACAATATCAATAGTCAATTTGACTGTTGAGTGTTGACATAAGGATTGTATTGCAAACCGGAAAAAAATGCACAGCAAAAATGCAAACCACTTCTTTGTAAAGTAATGAAATGAATTTTATACTATATGAGCTTTATTAGATAAAAATAATTATTTTTATCTATCTAGTTTGCAAAATAGTTTGCAACTTAAAATATTAAATGAATAAAAAAAGGTTTGCATTTTGCATTCACGGATTCCCGTCAAAGTCAAATTTTATAAAATTGTGACTGCTTTTCTTTTCAACTTTTCAGATTTCGTGCGTTCAGGGTTGTAGTTTTCTAAAGTATATATCATAGAGTATATTGCTACATATATAAAGTATATATTGTATACTTACAAATCTCAAGCTCAAAGAAAAACCGTCGAAAATGGCTACGGACTTGAATTCAAGTTTCAATGAACAATATATCAACATTAATATGAAACTCAAAAAGTATAGTTTGAATTACCTTTGTAAGAATATTTGTCATATACTTATTTTTAATTTATAAAACAAAAATTTCAGGAGGTTCATGCGAAAGCCAAATATATCTGAAGCGACAAACGAATTTATAGCTTTAGCAATACAATGTGAGCATTCTGAACAGCCAGCATTTGCTGGTCAAACATATATAGGTGCTGCTAAATGTGAGGCTTCTGCTGGCAATGTCCTCGGAGAAGCTGAACAGTATATAGCAGCTGCACGTCAATTTATGAAAGCAGAAAAAAAACTCACTTCTTTAAAATTTCATAGCCCTGATAGAGAGAGCTTAGAAGTAAGTTGATTATTGCAGAGATATTAATCATATTTATTTAGCTAAATCTATGCTTTTAAATATGTTTTAGTGTATTTAATTATTAAGTGTATTCTCCAATCATTCTAGGCTGGTATTAGTTGCTATCTTCAAGCTTTAAGTAAATACCCAGAAAAATCTCCTTTAAGAAGTTCAATTCTACTTGAACTTGCCAATGAGCTGATAATATTAGACTATAAACTGGAAGCTTTGCATTATTATGAAGCTGCTTTAGAAATAATTGAGGATAAAGCTATGAAACTCATGTGCTCAAGGAATATATTAAACTTGCTTATTGACTGTGGTAAGGTTCTAATTTAGATACAGTAATAAATATTGTAATAGAAAATATTATTATATTTAATAAATTTTCCAGATAAATTTGACATAGCTTTGGAAACTGCAAATAAAATATGTGATTCCAAATTTTATATACCAGAAGGCATTCTAACTGAGTAAGTTTCTTCTTTACTTTTTTCATCAATATTAATGATTTTACTTTTATTAAATTTAATATTTTTTGCTTAATAGGATTCAAGTGATCAGAGTACTCTTAGTTCTACTGGTAGATCCAGATGAAGATGTAAAATCAGAATCATTAAAGCAATTATTGGATAATTTGCTTAATGATGAAGATAGTGATTGTAAGTTAACAAAGTAGTATAGTTATATTATATAAACTAATATTGTAAAGATAAAAAAAATGTTTTTTATTTGTAATGTGATATATAAAAAATGCTTTTTTTTAATATTTAAAAAAAAATTGAAATTCACATGAAAATTGCAATAATGTAACCTAAGGTTTAATAAGTTTGTATATTAATAGTGTAAGTATTCAAAGTATTTTACTTTTTTTCAGACATTCCCTTTAATATTGACCTAAAGTTAAAACTTCAGTCTATTATTATATCTACTAGTACAATGGACTATCAGGCCCTAATAAATATTGCAGCAGATACTAAACAATATTTAACAAGACAGCAAAAATATCTTCTTGAAACACTCATTATGCAGAAAAATTCTGAATAATTTATTTTTATATCTAATTTATTGGAACATGTTTTATTCTAATATTTTTCTGTGATACTGTTAAACTTTATATGAGTCAATGTAAAATAAATAAACTCTCTTTTGTTAACATTTAAGTTATTTAGGATATTTCAGTCATTAACTTTTTTATTATAGATTTTTCGTTAGTTTTTATTCTTTTATAGAATATAACAATAATTGGAAGCTACAAATAAAACATTGTGACTCATTTTGTGTTTTAATCCATTACAAGTCCAAAGATTTTTTTTTCTTAGAAACAGTCCTAAAGACCATTCATTTTTCTCTTTTGCTGTGTAAAAACAATATTTATTTTCACTTTCACTTTCCCAGTTACAAAAGCTAGTATTCATGTCTATTAAGATTTTTTATCAATCTCACTACTACCTATATCCAGCTCATTTTTTGGAATAGCAACATTGATTGGATTGGCAAAATTGACTTCCTTGTCGATAACAATGTCATTAATCTTGATTTCATTGGCAAAGTTTGTAGATAGATCAACAACTTTATTCTGCTTAGAAAGTGACCACATTTCATCAAATTTATCTTCATCACATCTCTCAACACTTTTAACTTTCTTCCCATTTGTTTTTTGCCAGCAATACTCAAATGGATAGCTAACATTTCTGTTGTCGTCTGGAGTTATCTCAAAACGAGAGGATAAACTGTTGTAAGTAGTGTGTACACCCTCCAGCAAATTGACATCAACTTCTTCAAAGCCAGTGATAGATTTGAACAAGTCTTCAGCCGACTGGATATCTGGCACACCTTTCTTTTCAAAGAACTGAAATGAAGATATAAATTAAAAAAATATTGATTGAAATGTTATTGAATAGAATTTATTTAAAAATCTAGAATTTATACTAATATTATAAAGGAGAAAGATTTTTTTGTTTGTATGTTTGTACCAAATAGGCTCCACAACTACTAAACCAATTTAGATGAAATTTGATAAGAAGATAGTATAAGACTCTGGAAATGACAAAGGATAGTTTTAGCCTGGAAATCATATCTTATAAAGGTGAAAATGGGGATGATGAAAGTTTGTATGGGGAACCAACCTAGGGATGAACCTAAGCAAAGCGAGGGTGAGTCACTAGTCTGATATACTCACATTAATAATATTGCGACAGTCTCTCAATAAAAATTCCAAGCCATTAGGATGATCAGGCTGTACAGACTGCGAGACATCAATGAACCAGCATTTGTTCTCCCACCAAAGTATGTTATATTCTGATAGATCAGCGTGCACTAAATTACCTATATTGTATAGCTTATGCATAGCATCAACAACCTCATTGTATACACTCAACCATTTCTCAGGCTTCATAATAACATCTCGCAATTTAGGAGCTGGTTTATTATCCTTTCCTATAAAGGACATAACAAGTATATGTTTCTTTAAGCAGACCATTTCTGGGCAATTGAGGCCAATCTTTTGTATTCTCATCATATTGTGCATTTCTTTCTCTGCCCACATATGCACAATTTTTCGAGGGTTTTGCTTTGAGAATCTATCTTTAAACCTATAATCAGCTTCAATATATTTATCTCGCGTTTTAAACTCATTTAAAGTGGTCTTAAAGACCTTAATTGCACATTCCTTAGGCAAAACCATATCAGGAAAAGATTGATCACTGTTAGCATGTAACACAACTGATTCTTTTCCTGTTGATATTATTCCATTTATGTTTTCTAACATACCATTATTAATCATTTTAAAAAGTATAAGTCTTGTAGCTTCATCAAGACCCATTTCGGCAGTAGCTTGGCTTTCTTTTCTGTCTAACATTTTATGTTTGCGAGCTTGTTCCCATCTTGTATGCTCTTTTAGTTGATTGAACACAGAATTTGGTAGTTTCATATCGAATCCAGCACCGTCGCCTGTACAAACTTCAGGAGGAAACGTCATTACTTTGCATGCATTCCTTCTGCCATTTATAACACTATCATGCTTGGTGACCATTTCACCATCTTTCATAACAAATCCACGTTTAGGGAGACTTGCGAATTCTTTCTCGTTAGTTTCAAAACGATCCCAGTCTTTCTTACTAGCATTTTCGAAGTCATCATCATCGTCATCAGAATCGTATATAAGGCTTTCAGGAATATTGCGGTAGTTTTCATACGATATTGATACCTTTGCGTCTCCATTCTTCTTTTTCTCCACTTTTTTTATTTCGTCATCATATTCTCTGTCAAACTGGCATTGCAACACTTTTGCAATAATAGCGTCAGAGTCGCAATATTCCTTAACATTGGATTCCTCAATTTGTTTGAGGATTTCAGGCGAAAGATCATTAGGTTCAACAATAACATGTTGATCAGTTATTTGTTCAGCAAACTTTAATTCTTCCTTAACCTGTAAACCTTTTGCATATTCTTCAGACATGATCTCCGATAAATTTTGCACATCGGCGGGCGTTGCAACTTTCTTCCACGGATTAGACATTTTATATAAATTATAAATATATCACAGTTTTAAAATAGTCACTAAATAAATATTAAAATAATTTGAAGAGATAGAACTATTTCACAATAATGAGTATTTTGTTCAAAGCACAAGTTGTCAAGGTTACCTTTACCAATTACCATAGACATTAGACAATCATAAATCATTTATCATAATTATAATACCCATGTGGATACAAAATAATACCACAGGCCAGGCACAGATGACAAATAAAATAGACAATAAAGAGTAAAGACAAATATTTGTCATTTCATTTATATTCAGGGCTGCCAGATAACAATCGTTGATTTACCCGACCAATAAACCTCGAAATACCCGGTTTATCCCGCCAGCGCCAACCACGAGCAAGAATACCCGAAAATAGTTCTTTTTAAGTAATTTATTCATGTTTTATGCAGAATACAAGAAAGTACAAATGTTAGAAAAAGAAGTCATTGTAATTAGTTCTCAATTAAACACCTTTAAATTATTATATCAAACATTAAAAAAACTTTAAATATCAAATTGACCAGCTAAATTAAAATACCTTTTTATTTTTCTTAATGTTGGGAAGTACATCTACGCATACCACCTGTAGACATATATGGGATTTATGGGATATATATTATATGTCCTATAGATATATTATGGGATATATGGGGTTATATGGGACTCAACGGCTCGAAAAGCCAGAACTACCAACTAAAATCTTCCCCCATATTAATGGAGCGTCGCAGAATCGCTTACCTGCTGTCGGGGCGTCGTAGTTGAGTGCAATTACGACGCCCCGACAGCAGGTCTGCCGAAGCAGACCACAATGCGGTTGCTCCACAGTCCACTCTACTATCTGAGAAGTACCAGGAGCCCGAAGAGAAGAACCTAACTCGCAGGGTACACTGCCTACCGAAGTGGGCCACCTCCCTCATCCCTGTGCGTTTCTTAGCTTCGCTAAATATAATATTTTTTAAATTTATATTAAAGAGTAATCTATATATTATATAAAACAAAATCGGGTTAGTTACAACTTACAACACTTATAACTCGAGAACAGCTATACGTGTGTAGCTATACGTGTGTATTTTTATGATCTTTGTTTTGTTGTATTTATTTATTTGTAGTAATTAGCAACCTTTCATAAGGTTCTGTAGCCAAAGGACAAAAACGGACCTGTTGCGACGAAAGGTTTACCTGTTTGTAGCGAGTCGCGGGTTTGAGTCCTGTGGGCGTTCATTTGTATGATGACGAATGTATGTACTCCAGTCATGAGTGTTTATGTTTATAACATGTAACTTCATTGCCTTTGTATGTGTAGTACTATGCATTTTTAATTATTTTACTGCATGGGCTGAACTTTTAATGAGTCTACTTACTTTTTGAGGTACAAATTCAACTTAATAGACTACTTTCCTGCCTCGGTAAATATTTGGGGCTAGTGAAAAAAAATAATAGAACATTTAGCAGTGACAGTGGTCACTAGTTTCAAATAATAAAATTTGTAAGTATTATATTAGGAAATAATTTAAATACTTCTAATCAATTATTCATCTAAACAAAAAAAAACTTATTTTGGAATGTGCCTATTGCAATATTATTTTTAATAACTGTATAAGTAAAAAATAATAATAAAACAGCAAGTGATTTTTATTATTAGTTTATTTACACCCTAATGTTCATTTTGTAGTCTTCTTGCCAGCTTTGGCAGTTGCTTGTTGCGCCTTGAGGACCTTTACAATCTTTTGTTCCTCAATGAGGAAAGCTCTGACAATGCGTTGCTTGACACACTTGTGGCAGAGAACACCACCATATACACGCTTCACTGTCTTTTTACGATAGCAAAGTCTGGAACGCTCCGCAGGTCTGGCAGGTTGGATACCTCTAAGCTTGCTTTTGCATTGACCACATCTTGGGATCTTCTTGGGCTTCTTTACATATTGATAGACAAGACGTCCACCTGGAGTTCTTACTCTGTAATAGATGAAAATATTAAATTACAAATTGTAAATAAAATAACAAGAATTTGAAACATAATACATAGAGTATACTATACTAAATGGTTTGAAAATATAGAAGTTGTTGATCTACTAAAGTAATATAATCAAAATGAACCTTTTTTCTGTTAACTTTTTCAAATTTCTTTTGTACATAAGACAATTAATACTATAATAATTTATACATTATTTTATTAAAATAGTAATTAAAACATAATTTGAATTCAAAATAAAATAGCATTAAATCCATGTCAATTTAAAATTAGTATTTCTCATATCCATTGAGAGAAAATGGAAGTATAATGAAAATTTACAGCACTGATGAATTAAGTAAATTCAAAACTACAGCTTGAATTCTACTTCATATTTTACCAATATTATATTTCTTAGTCTTACTAATTCTAGTTCAGTGAATCATCATGTTATGATAATATAGGCTCAGGTTGTCTTAATAGCACACAAGTTGATTTATTGATATATACATGTATCTAAGTAAAGGAGAAAAAGATAAATCAAGATTCGTATTATGCACTTAGTTAATAAACATACATGGCATTACAATATATTGAATTTAGGTATAAGTAACAGACATATTACCACACAATAAGTAGGTATAATTAAATTGTACTATAATACGAAATGAACTTAGGTTATACTCATAAGTACCGCTACTTAGAGGTTATGTTTGGACATAGAATAAATTTTCTATAATATATAATTAGTTATAAAACGAGCTTTTCGTGAGCACTAAGTATACGTTCATGATTTTGGATTAAAGGCTAAGGAAATACATTCAATACTCACATTCTCCTCTGGTTTGACTTGGTGTTGTACGACAACCGTCGCCTAAATGTAAGACGTTGAACCATTTTCAAGCTGAAATATAAAACAAAATATGTGTAACATACACTAAACTTTTCAATGCACCATAACACTTATAATATTTCTATTAAATATAATGCGATTTTATTCGATTTCTTTTCACTTGCACGAAATCCGTACCTTTTTGACAGCTGTTAACATGAAAAGAATAACAATACTTTTCTATGGTAACATTTTGTCGCAGTCTGTTTTCTATTACAAAAACGTTATTAATTTTTATTTAAAATTTTAATATGATGAATTGCATTTATATTATAAGGCATCAAATATATTCAAATAAATATGAATATAAATGTAGTTAATAACAATAACGCATATAGTTTTTATTTAGTTTAATAGACGTCCGCCAACTCGCACTTGTCCGCCAACTCGCACTCGCAAGCGTGGTGGACTACGGCCTGTCTCCCCTCGTACTGAAGGCCCGAAGGGAGGCCCGTGCCCAGCAGTGGGATGTTAAAAAGGGCTGAATACATAATAGACGCACGCGCTATGGAAATACAGAATCTATATTATTTAGCCGTATGAATTTGGTCAAGCAACAAATGAAATATATATATATATATATGTAATATATGTTATTCTATAGCTTATATTACAAGTAAAAATAAAGTTTACAGATGATTGACGAGTAAACGAAAACGTACTTATATGTTTTAAATAATAGGTACATATATTTATTAACAGTGGCAACATTCATTGCAAGGTTAGTAAAATGGCTGCTGTTGTGTGATGTTTTTAGTGTTTGTGTCTAAATTTGAGATAAATCGTGTTTCATAGTGAAATTTATCAAAAATGGGTAAGTACATTATAATAATTTGTATAAAACTTGATTTTGTAAAAATCCTAATAATACCATTATACATCGATACTCATTGACATTCCATAGAAGATAACAGATGATTAAAGTTGTCTTTTTCGATCAAAACATGGAATTTATTAGTTCTATAATTGTACATCAATAATGTTTTAAAACGATATACATATAAAATATATTATGTAAAAAACGTTGCATTAGTTAAAATAATGTTTTGTTTAGAGAATTAAGAATGGTGTAGTTATTTTTCTTTGCTTACATATTTTGTTTATTACTCGTATCTTATTTGATAATGCTTGGCATTCGTTTTATTTAGACGTTGAAAATTTAAAATAATTCTGTAAAATTCTATATGAATTTACTCATTATTGATAATCTTTACAGAATAAATTATTATATTCTGTTATAATATATAGTTTGTGTTTTTATCAATAGATGTCAGCAGAAACATGCAGTGCTATCGTTACAAATATAAAATTTTCCTACTAAGTAATATTACATGTAATTTGTAAATGCGAAAGTTTGTAAGGATGTATGGATGTCTTGGTGTATATATGTATGGATGTTTGTTACTCTTTCACGCAAAAACGACTGAATGGATTTTAATGAAATACAATAATATACCTCTTAAATAAGAATAATACATTGCCTACTTATTATTCCAGAACTTTATATCCCAGGTACATTACCGTCCTCTAGGGATACTTTTTGTCTTTCTAAAGGCAAACCCGATTCGAAATACCTTATGAATGATTTTTGATTATAGATATAAACACTTATAAATAACTTAAATATTGAATAAATACATGTATATATTTAAATTTGTATTACTTACTGCAATATTGTTTTATTTTTCTTCTTAATACTACATTAATGTTACTTTAAATTTCAAAGTTAGCTTGCAAATGATTAGAAATCAGTAAGATCAAATACCCTGTGTTTCTTATTTGCATATCTTTTTGTGGGTTAAAAAATAAAATGTTCCTTACAGCTTCTTCTTCTTGCATGGCTTTTTGTACGTTACTTACAGCTGTAAAATCTATCTGATACTTATTAATTACCACATAAAGCTTTATGTTTTTATAAAACTATTAAATGACACTCGATAAAGTATGTATTTATTTTATATGTAGTTCTAGTGTAATGTACCACATTAGTTTAAATAATTATGTATAGCCATTACAAAATAATATTAGGTAGAAGGTCTTACTTAACCCTTAAGTATTCATTTATGTATTACCCTTAAGTATTCATGAAAAATAAAAATAAATGTTATAATTCAATCATATCAACTAAAAAAACTTAGTATTGACTGGAAAAATTGCCATAATTTTTGGATATATTGTGTGTTTATTTTAAAATATAACGAAAACTAGTATTATATTGATACTTCACCATTGACTAGATATCTAGAGTTAAAATATTGATAAATTCGAAACATATTAAGAGTATAAATTTTATTTTAGAAAGGATAGCTCCGCTGGGGTTCGTCTGTAGTTACATTTTAATGTTTAGTATACATTTCTCAGAGATGAGATATTTTCCCGCAGTAAAAAGTATCCTATATATTGACCCGGATAATCAGCTATCATCAAAATCTGTCCAGTACAGTTCCCAGACAGACAGACAGAGAGACAGAAAAAAAATCTAAAAACTATAGATTCAGCCTCTGTATCGATAATAAAGATTTTCCGAAAAATATTAAATGTACCTACTGATTTGACTCAGAATTTTATTACTTATATTATGTATAGATGGTACCATAATATAAATTTCCTTTAATCTCAACATAAAAGATCGTAACAAATCCGGAATTCGGCTCCGACGCACATCGGCTCGAATTATGCGTACGCATTCGTTACCCGCCATGTTTCATTGGAGGTGTCAGAAATAAGCCTTTATAAAATGTTCAAAGGCGCTTAAGTTATATATCAAAAGTTGGATGTCCACACGATATTGTGTTCATCGGATAGTCTTTCCGCTTACGTTTAAAAGTTTTAATTTATTTTTACCGTCGTGATTTTTTATAATATAATTTTAGGCTAATTACTATTGCGTCGGGTCGGAAATGAAATATTTTCCGATGTAATATAGATAAAATAAAAATAGCTATAATTTATTAGTACATTAACGTGAAAATTATACACAAAATGCGTAACTTAAATGTTTTTCCAATCCAATTAATAAATTTTTATAGCGAACTATGACAATCTATGTGATTCTTTATGACCCAAAATTGATTTGTTTAAAATTTAAAATCTCACTTCTTACTAATATAATAAATGTGAAAGTTAAGATGGATGTTTGGATGTTTGTTACTCAATCACGTCAGTACGGCTAAACGGATCTGGATGAAATTTGGCACAGTGATAGATTACAGTCTGGAAGAACACATAGGCCTTTTATCCCGGAAAAATGTACGGTTTCCGTGGGATAGATTTGTTTTTGTTTTTTTTAGAGGCGAACCCTAGCGAAGCGAGTGTGAGCCGCTAGTATATAATACCTTTGTGACTTCTTCATTTTATATGACATTGGCGAAGTAATCTGTGCGTAATTGGCACGCTTTGAAGCCATTGAAAATTAAATATTTAATAATTTTGAAATATGTGAACATTTTCCAAAATCGTAATATTTTATGGTCGCCGCGCTTAAAGGCGAGCGAGAACTTGATTCGGGGAATCGTCCGACATTGAGATGGGTCATTTTGTAATAACAATAGCGGACGCTTAGGGCTGCCATGTGCTCATAACTTTGATTGTAAATATTAAATTATTAATAGTTATATTCAATATAAAACATTTAATACCTATTTAAAGTAAGATATATGAAAATATTTATTATAACGAACAAAATTGTTTGTATAATTTTTTTAAGTTATTTTGGTTTAACCGCTGCTTACTTGAACCTTACAAACTTTTAACCTTAACCGTATTACATATAAACCTTTACCCAACACATTATATTAGGTATATACCTATACTTTTTCATATGAACAAGTTGAAAGTAGGAGGGAACTATCGTAATTAAAGTGATAAAGTGCTACTGCTATCTAGTAATTATGCCACATAAGAATATATCTGAAACGTTTATTTTTTTGCATGGGAGGATATGAACTACAGCCATTCTGAAATACTCCCAAACCAAGAATCAAACACACTCATTCACTCACAAATGTTACGTTTATAATATTAGTGCCATAAATTAAAAAAAAATTTTTTTACATAGCAATTAAAAGAAACTATCTATAGTAGGTACTATACTAATACATATTATAAACAGAAAAGATTTGTGTGTTTGTACTTAATAAGCTCCGAAACTACTAAACTGATTTAGATGAAATTTGTTAAGAAGATAGTTTGAGACACTGAGAAGGACATTTTAAAAGAGTTTTTATCCCGGAAATCATGCCTTAAGGGGGTAAAAATGGTGATGAAAGTTTGTACTCGTATGGGGAAACAATCTTGGGACGAACCCGGGCGAAGAGAAGGTGAGTCGGTAGTTTATAATAAATTCAATTGACCTGGTTCCTTGTTTAGTAGTATATAAATATATATATAATATGAATCTCAGAAACGGCTCCAACGATTTTCATGAAATTTAGTATACAGGGGGTTTCAGGGGCGATAAATCGATCTGGAATAGTTAGGTATAGTATGTCTGAGAAAACGCGTGTTTTCGAGTTTTTATGCGGTTTTGTTTCGCATTATTTCACGCAAAATATGGTCGCTAATTTGCACGCTAGGACATAAGCATCGTGATCAAGCGGCCAAGGCGCAAGTTTGACAACCACAGGGTTCATATCCCGGTCGGTTTTTACTTTTTTTTTATTTATTCAAATTTTTAGTTTGTTTTTTTTTTTAAATGTCTTATTGGCCAAAAACTCCGAGCGAAGCTCGGTCGCCCAGGTACTATTATTATAAAAGCGTATCGGATTGTTTCATCCATTGTTTATTTTTATCCAAATATTTCATGAATCATTATGTTCTATAAAGTGCTAACCGTATTACTGGAGTTATATCTGAATGAAACATTACGTTTTATTTTATGTAAATATTCTCATGGCTAGTGACGTGTTCTTGCATCGTTCAGACTTCAGAACCTATCGATTCCCAACGCGTCCTTAAGCGTGTTTTTGCAAACTGACTCTATCACATGGGAGCCACTCGATACAAAAGTTACCTATATCAATCACTCTCTGGCCTATAAATTATGTTTATGCAAAAAACGTGTATTCGCTGTTCTCTGAAAGACTCATAAAACTCCCTTTTCATTTTAATACTATATTTTGAGAGTCGTCAAAAATCATGCAATTAGATAATTTCAATATTATTGTATAACTTTGTGGGTAGATTCTGTCGGTAACCAAAAAAAAAGTGCGATAGAATCCGAAGTTTCACTTAAAATTTCTTTAACGTCTTATATTTTTATCTAGACCTTATTTGTCTTGAATAATATGATTTATCTATTTATATAAATTTAATAATGTCGTATGTCACGTAGGTGAATGATATTTTCCATATCCACCTTCATAAATTGCTGTTTTGTTACGAGATAACGTCAGAATTATTTACGTAACATATTTTCATCTGTTTTTACAGTGTACACAAGTCTATATAAATATATATAGCTATAAAAAACTTGCATAGCTAAGATTTTTCAAAGAAAAAATTTGTGTCATATACAAGACTACACTTTTATATCAAGTTAGTATCGTTAAACGCGTAGGCTTTATATTCCACCCCAATGTGTGTTCACCTTGTCGTGGTGGAGGGGCTCATTAGCGTCCGGCAATTCAGCCGGGCGCGAGCCGCGAAGCCAAGAAACGCAATGGGAACTGGCCTATCTCGGTGAGCGGTGTGCCATGCGGGTTGCTCCCGGTACTTCTCTGACAGCAGAGTGCACCGTTGGAGCTACCCCATGGTTGTTGTGGTCTGCTTCGACAGACTTGCCGTCGTGTCGTCGTGGTTGAGTGCGTAAGCGATTCTGCGACGCCCCATTATGACGGAGGAGGTATTTTTGGGTTTTAGTGGGTAGTACTGGCTTCCCTAGCCAGTGAGTCCCACATAACCACCATGTTTATAGTATATATGAATTAAGTGTGTGAGTTGTACCCGCGGACTTTGGTGCTAATGGAAGTTTATTAGTGCTATGGTGTTGTTGCACCGTGGTCTATAGACGTTGTTCGCGTTAAATAGACTTATTTGTGATCTTTGAGGTCACACACAAACATCGTATAGATTAAAACACTTTCAGTTTGTCTCGAATTTACTAATTTTTCAGGCGTTTTTAATTCTCTCCTTCAATTTTGCTAAAATTCTTAATCGCATCTATCGAACTATTACTAATCTGTATTTTACAGCTAACTATCATAATTAATCTATGTCGAACTATAACGAAGATAAAAAAAAGTTAACTCCGTCCAGCTGTTCTTAAGTAGGTAAATAAAAATTCATTACTACCGAATTGTTATTTAAAATATACACTGTGGTTAACCCTAAGCGTAGCGCGTTTCTTTTTCTTCTTAAAGCCCGCGTCGACGCCGCGCGACAATAGCCGCTCTCGAGCTGATTTTACTATTGTTCCTACACGTCAGATGACCTTTAGGGTTTTCTTTTCTAAACACTTGACTCAGTTTGTAGTGACCCTACTTGCTGTGCCAGCGGTCGCGGGTTCGAGTCCCGCTGGGGGCATTCATTTGTGTGATGAACACGAATGTTTGTACTCCAGTTATGGGTGTTTATATTTATAATATGTATGTATTTAAAGTTATATATGTGTAGTGTATCAACTATCAACTATCTGGTATCCATAACACAAGTCTCGTAGTTTACCATGGAACTAGGTGGTGCTGTGTGTTAATGTCCCAACATATTTACTTATTTACTTGTAACGTATGTTATACTCGTCGTGGACTAACAGTTCACAGTTTATATGAAATAGATATGAAAGTTAGGCCTGAAAGTCTTAAGCTTTCATGGTCACTGACAAAGTATATTCTAAATCATGA